AAGATAATTTAGTTTGACTCCTTCATTTGAAAGTTGAGAAAATGGGCTAAGAGCTCACAGAAAGTTATTTGTGACCAAGATTAGAACCAGGCTTCATGCTTAAAAAAGGAAACTCTTCCTTATTAGAAAATAGCCCCCCAGTTTTGACATGGTAGATAATCTTTGAAGCAATGTGATCGTATTACAGTTTTAATAAGGAAGATTTACAAAGTTATTTTACTGGGGTGGAGCATTTCATCTGATCTGTTGGTTCTAATTCCTTCCTGGAAACCATATCTTGGCTCCATGTGAGAAATGCCAATTTTCCTGGTCTACAAATAACTTCATCTATATTAATTTCCATCATTTTAAAGAAAAGAAAACAGGTCTAGAGAGGTAAAGAATCCTCCCAAAGTGACCGAGCTAGTTAGTGGCCAACTTTAAATAACTCTTCCCAGATAGTTGATAAGCTACCCTATTTTTAAAGGACTAGACTAGGTAGGTTATTGAGGGAAGTTACGGAATCTTCTCTTCTAATGTTTAACAACTTTCCCTCTTGAGAAATTCTGAATTTATCATCTTGTGGCTTATGTCTCGTTCCACTGTTCTGTTCTTGTGGAAAATGAGTAGCAGCTGGCTGCTACACTTTAATTTGAATAGATCACATGCATAAAAATAAGTGGTACTTCAGGGTTTTTTTTTTAATTTTATTTTATTTAGGATAAACCATCCCAGTTCAATTGCAATAGAAATAAACTCAAAAGTAAGTAAATTTGATTTAAAGTATAATGTGTCATTTCTTTAGACCAAGAGTTCATTAATTTGCTGAGGCCAGTCAGATGGAATCACAAAAGACTGCAAAAGGATATTTTCATCAATCTATGCTTCTATACTAATCAGTAATCAAAATACATTAGAGCTTGCATGCTTCCTTTAAAATAATTAACATAATAATAATGTCTAGTCTTTAGCATTTTAAGGTTTGAAAAGCACTTTACATATATTATATCATTTGATGCTCACTACAACCCTGAAAATCAGGTGCTATTATTATCCCTGTTTTTCAGATGCAGAAACTGAAGCAAGCAGAGGGTAAGTGGGTAAAAGTGTTGGCTTTGTAGTAAGGAAAACCTGAGATCAAATCCTGCCTCAGACAAGTCACCTCAGTTTCCCCATCTTTATGATGGGAATAATAATAACACCTACCTCATAGGTTGGTGTGAGGATCAAGTGAGATAACATGTACTGTTTGCAAAGCATTACGTAAACGCTGCATGCTATTAAATTATTTTTCCCACTGATGTGATCTGAATTAGAACAGAAGTCTGGTAGTTGAAGGTGCAGTTTTCTTCTTGTATTACAAAGATGGGGCAGTACAGGGGAAATCCAGCTTGGGGATAAGAGGATAGCTTCTTAAATTTTTTATATTTTTTTCAATTACATGTAAAAACAATTTTAATATTCCTTTTTTTTAAATTTTGAGTTACAAATTCTATCCCTTCTCTTTCCTCTCCCTTCTTTGGGAAGGAAAACATGTAATATAGATTATACATATAGCCATGTTGTAAAAGAAAACACAGACAAAAAAAACAAAAATAAAGTTAAAAAAGTATGTTTCTATTTGCATTCAGACTCCATCAGTTCTTTCCCTGGAGGTGGTTAGCAGTTTCATGAGTCCTCAGAACTGTCTTGGATCATTGTGTTGCTGAGAATAGCTAAGTCATTTACATTTGATCATCGTACCATATTACTGTTACTGTGTACAATGGTTCAACTCACTTCACTTTGCACCAGTTCATTTAAGTCTTTCCAGGTTTTCCTGAAACCATACTGCTCATCATTTCTTTTTTAAAAAATTATTTAGTACTTTATTTTCTCCTAATTATACGTAAAAACAATTTTTAACATTCATTTTTAAAACTTTGAGTTCCAAATTCTCTACCTACCTCCCTCCCTCCCCACTTCCCTCTTTCAGAAGGCAAGTAATTCGATATAGGTTATACATGTGTAGTCATGCAAAACATTTCCATATTGGTCAGCTGTGAAAGAAAACATACATTAAAAAAAATTCAAGAAAAATAAAGAAAGCAAAAAAAGTATGCTTCAATCTGTATTAAGACACCATCAATTCTTTCTCTGGGGATGGATAGCATTTTTCATCATAAGTCCTTCAGAATTGTCTTGGATCATTGTATTGCTTTGCTGAGAATGGGCTAGGTCATTCACAGCTGATCATCTCACAATATTGTTGTTACTTTGTACACAAAACATTTCACTTTATATCAGCTCATGTGAGTCTTTCCAGGTTTTTCTGAGAGCATCCTGCTCATCATTTCTTAGAGCACAGTAGTATTCCATCACAATCACACAGCACAATTTGTTCAGCCATTCTTCAACTGATGTGCATACCTTCAGTTTCCAATTTTTTGCCGCCAGAAAAGAACTGCTATAAATATTTTTGTACATATAGGTCTTTTTCCTTTTTGTTTTTTATCTCTTTTGGAATACATATCTAGTAGTGGTATTGCTAGGTCAAAGCCCTTTGTGCATAGTTCCAAATTGCTCTAAAGACTGGTTGAATCAGTTCACAACTCCACAAACAGTGCATTTACGTCTCATTTTTCCCACATCCCCTCCAACATTTGTCATTTACCTTTGCTGTCTTATTAGCCAATCTAATAGGTATAAGGTAGTACCTCAGAATTGTTTTAATTTGCATTTCTCCAATCAACAGTGAGTCAGAGCAATTTTTCATATGGCTATAGATAGCTTTGATTATTTCATCTGAAAACTGTTCATATCTTTTGATCATTTATCAATTAGGGAATGGCTCTTATTTTTATAAATTTGACTCAGTTCTCATTTGAAAAATGAGACCACAGAGAAACCTGCTTCATTTTTTTTCCCACAGATACTATTACTAACTATATTTCATGATTTTCTTGCATCACTCTCATTTCTCTTCCCTGTTTTTCCTCTACCTCTCTTACTTGATTTTCAGAATCTTTTTTTGAGCTCTTCCGTGGCCTGAGACCAATTCACATTTTCCTGGAGGCTTTGGATGTAGTAGCTTTGACTTTGTGTCTTCTGAGTGTGTGTTTTGATCTTCCTTGTCATCATCGTAACTTTCAGTAGTCAGACTTTTTTTCCCCATTGTTTGCTCATTTTCCCAGCCTATTTCTTGATGTTTAACTCTTTGTTAAAGTGAGGCTCTGCTTCTTGAGCGGAAGGCACACTTTCCCAAGCTTCAGGGGTTTTGTGCAGCTGTTTTCAGAGATACTTTTAGGGAACTGTAAGTTTTCAGTTCTACCAAGGTGGTACGATCTAAAGAGAGGTGCATTTACTACACTCCTGGCCTGTGCTCTGGTCTGAGTGACCACAAGCACTCTTTTCTGCCCTGGAATTGTGACGAGGGTCCTCGCTCACTGCTGTCACAAGCTCTGCTGTGCTAGTGCTCCTCTTCACCCTGGGACTGTGACCAGATCTGAGTATGGGCAAAGCAACAGAGTTCTGCCCCTAGTGCCATTCCTTCTGATCAGTTGTTCAGTCCCTTTACTGTCTGTGGGATCAAAGCTCCAGAAACAGTTGCTTGCTGAGTCAGTGCCCCCCACGGCCTGCTCCTGGTTTGCTGCTCTAGTGCAGCCTGAGCTGGACTGTGTTCCACTCTAACCCAGGTGTGGCAGACCTTTCCTACCAACCTTCTAATTTGTCTTTGGCTGGAAAATTATTTCACCCTATCCTTTTATGGGTTCTGCCGCTCCAAGAATTGTCTTCTGGCATTATTTAAGGGTGTTCAGAGGAGTTTTGGGGAGAGCTCAAGTGAGTTGCTGAGTTGCTGACTTTTTCCCACCATCTTGGAGCTCCCTGCTTATCATTTCTCGTAACACAATAGTATTCCAACAGAATCACATACCACAACTTGTTCAGCTATTCCCCAATTGATAGGAATCCCTTCAATTTCCAATTTTTCCCACCACAAAAAGAGCTGCTACAAATATTTTTGTGCATATATGTCCCTTCCCCTTCCTTTTTTAAAAATCTTTAGTAGTGTTGAGGGGTCAAAGGATATACAGTTTTATAAGCTTTTTGACATAGTTCCAAATTGCTCTCCAGAATGGTGGGATCAATTCACAACTCCACCAATGGTGCATTAGTGTCCCAGTTTTCCCACATCCTCTCCAACATTTGTCATTTTCCTTTTCTGTCATATTAGCTAATCTTATAAATGTGAGGTGGTGCCTCAGAGTTGTTTAAATTTGCATTTCTAAGATGATAATTATTTAGGAACAGTTCAAGTATACTTTATGAACTGGTAGCCAGAAAATATCTTAGTATTATTGTGAAAAAAGTTTTAACCTTGCAGACCCCATGAAAATGTTTCAGGGATTGTTAGTTTAGACTTTAGAAAGATGGAAATGCTACTTAGAAACAAGAGTCCTTGAATATTTTCAAATTCTTATTTAAACAAGCAACCTGTTTATCTTACTATTGCTGATCTCAAAAGGGTTCCTTTAATTTAAAGCTCTTTTTTTCATTAGCAGTCAGTGAATGCATATGCCATGTGTGTAAGAGGCAACATCACGTAAGGGAAAGGGCACTGGAATTCAGGAAGATGAGTTCAAATGTAGCATCCAATACTTACTTGCTGTGTAACATTACACATAAAAATTAACTGCTCCATACCTCAGTTTCCTTGTCTGTAAAATGAGAAGGTTGGACCTGATAGCCTTTAAGATTCCTTTCAGCTCTAAACAGATGATCCTATGTGAAAGGCATTATGGTGCAGTGGAAAGAACACTGACCCCAGAGTCATGAATAACCTGAGTTTGAATCCTGCCTGGAATACTTGCTTAGCTATTCAACCACAGGTAAGTCATTTCCACCTCTGTGGATCAAAAGAAATCATGTGTATGGAGTATTTTGTAAACCTTAAAACACTATATTTAATCACAACTATTCTTTTTGGATTCATTTTTTGGAGGAGAGAGATTAGGATAAAAAACCCAAACACAGACTATAAATCAATCTCCCTCTACTCTATGTTTATTAAAAGTCTATTGGTCCAGTCATCATGTAAAAGAAATTTCAAACTATGTTCAAAAAGTTACTTAAATGTATTATATTATGCCTTTTGAGAACTCACTGATATAATTACTAGGCCTGTATATCCCAAAGAGATCAAAGAGAAAAAGGATCCATAGGTATGAAAAAATTTACCGCGAGGTCCCAATTAATGAAAATAAGGAAATCTCTTGAAGTGGTTGCATGTATCTGAATTTGTGATATTCAAAGTTACAATTGTGTGAAGTATGGTATTTGGTTCCAATGGAAATATGCAGTACAAATCTGAATAATGGAACCATTTAGCTGGATTCATTGTTTGCACTTCTCAGGACCTGAAAGCTCTTTTTGAGAAGGCAAACTAGAAATGGGACACTGGGGTGGGCTAGAGAGGTGAATGGCTTTTCAAATTATGGTATACTGAGAAATCACTATGTATTTACTAAAGCAGCTTTTTAAAGAAAAGTGTACAAAGAACTTTTGAAAAATTGAGAATTAGAACATGTTAGGCATTTTCAAGAACATCCATAGATTAACTAGTCTCTGAGCGGAATCAACAACAGCATTTACATTAACTAGGGAGGGAAAGAACCTGTCCTCAATTTGACATTTCTCTAGCATCAAATGAGATCATCTTAAAGTTACATTGCTTCCACTGGGAGTACAGAGTCTGAAGCCCAGTTGCAACATCTTCCACCACAAAACTATCAATTTTTATGATAGGAACAACAAATGTCTTATATCTTGCAAATATTCCCCAATCATGATGGCAGCTACGTTCTGCACAGAATATTTTTCCTGTCTTCTCCAAGACTCCAAAGCACTTCGGTTTAGGGTGTGGCTCAGTCACAAATGATTCCTTAAATGCATCCCCTATCACAACGTGATGAGTGTCCTAAAGAAGCAAGAACAGAATGATACACATCACAGGAAAATTCTAAAATAGGAACATGATCTATAAAGAGACTTGTCAGGGGCCATACATATGCAAGGACAGAGACAAGCAGTATTATCCCCATTTTACAGATGGCACAAGCAATATATCTAGAAAAGACTGTATGTGGAGTCTGAGGACCTTCATTCAACTCCCAACCTAGCTATGTGTCATGTGTAAGACAGTGGGCAAGTCACTGAACCTTTCTGGGTCTCAGTTTCCTCAACTGTAAATCAGGAAGTTTGTTCTACATATCCTCTAAGGTCTCTTCTAGTTCTTAATCTATAATTCTATGATTTAACCTAAATGTCCTCAAACGGGGAATCCTACCTACAAAGACTGGGGCTAAAATATGAAGGGGATGAGAATTATTTGGAAGACAGACAGCCTTCATGAATTTAGGACTAAAACTCTCAAATTCTTAGCTATCTAAGGGGCCATGCATTCACCTAAAGCCACATAGATCTGTATAATAATAGTCTAAGAGAAATGGCCAAAAATTAATGTATATCTGAGTATACATAATCCCATAGGGAATCACACAAAAATGAAATAAAAAGAAATGCTAAATTTAAAAAAGTGACAAAACTATACAAAAATAGTTGTACAATCATGAGAATTCAATAAAAGAACTGATCCATTTATTAAAATTTTAATTTTAAATCAAACTGTTAGCTCCTTTACCTGCAAAGAAACCATTTTCTAGACACAAAGGCCAATATGATGTAAAATTTAGAAAGATGGGTACTTATAAATGAAAATACTTTAATATTCTTAAATTCTCCGACACACCTTTATTATTTACAGGAATGCTGCTGATCTCAAAACGGTTCCTTGGTTTTCATTGGTATGTTATCTAGGCCCAACCCCACATTCTACTTAATTAGAATTAGTCATATTCCATTATTTTATAGACGAGGAAACTAAGGCCTAAAGAAATAGTTTGTCAGTGTTAAATACATTACCCAGCATAATTTTTTACTACTTTTATCCAATAATAGAATGATTTTGGATTTCAACTTGCTAAAGAGTAAGCTAAGCATTACAATGACACTTTTGGATGTAGAAGGAAACCTTAGTCAAAGTACAGTTGATACAGTACTTAAGATACTTGTACAATCTATAGGGAGAGTGTGGACCCTCCCTTCATTAATGCACATCTCACTCTCTCCAAAACTTAGAAGCTAGTTTTTGAAAGCTGAAAAACATCACCTTTATAGCCAACCTAAGAATGAGCCTGTAATCACCTGGTTCATATAAAAAACCTTTTCAAATGGGTAAAAGGACAGGCTTCACACTGCTGACATGGTCTTCTCTGGAGAAGGATAAGAAAACAAACCTCTCTCTTCATTTGGGATATCGGAGATGGTGGGTGTGGATATGCTGTCAGACACTCTTAATAGGTTGGCTGGTCTTGCTGAACATTTTCCCCTCTCCCTTTTTATTCTATAGCAAGAGAAATCTTGCTAGACAGAAAGGTGGTAAGTTTTACATTCAGAAACTTAAAAACAAAAGGTATAACGGATTCAGCTTTCTACATACATATCACCTTGTTACAAAAAAAGTTTATGAAAATTAACCCATATAGAAAAGATAATATTCTTGATATAAATATGCTAAAATATATGAGCATTTCCCCAATAGATAAGTGGACAAAGGACATGAATCAACAGCTTTCAAAATAAAAATTATGAAAAAAATAAAAAAATAAAAATTATGAACTACCAATATCCATATGAAAAATACTTCAAATCACTAATTAAAAAATTGCAAATTAAATAACTATTTTCACCTTATACTGATCAACTTGACTAAGATGACAAAAGCTTTTAATTTTTTGAATATACATTAATTCTTTTTTCTTCAAATAGAATAACAAGCAGTAACTTGTTTTTAGTAAAAAACTTGGATAAAAAAATCTCACTTTTGGGGATGGGGGTTGTCAGTTAATGGTAAGCAAACAAACTTGGTAACAAAGCAAAAATTACATTATAGTTACAAACAAAATCATTAGGTATGTCAGACCTACTACTCTCTGAAACTGAAAATACTGGAGGAGATATAAGAAGACAGGCACACTAATTAACTGTTGGTAGAGCTGTTAATTCATCTAACTATTCTAGAAATCACTGAGTTGTTCAAACCCTTGGATCCAGTCATCCCAATACTGGACAAATGCCATAAGAAAGTTAAACACAGAAGTAAAGGTTGCAAAAATACAAAAATATTCATACCTACACCTTGATGGTAGCAAAAAACAAAGTGAGTGCCCCTTGATTGGGAACAGCTAAACAAATTATGGTAGATGAATGTAATGGAACTTTAATATACTGTAAGAAATGACAATTACGAGAATTTCAGAAAAGCAGGGGAAGACCTATATGAACACCTTGCAGGAAGGAAAGAAGTAGGACCAGAACAAGATACACAATGCCCACAGTAACATACATGAAAACCACAATGAAAGGCAAGTGAATTCTGATTAATTACAATGATCAGTCTTGATCCATGAGAAGAGATGATGAAACGTAGTTCCCTCTTCTCAGTAGAGAGATGAGATGAAGCTACTGATGCACAGCTAGGTGGTGTCATAGAGCATGGAGTATCGGGCCTAGAGTCAGGGATACCTGAGTTTAAAGACAGCCTCAAACATTTACAAGCAGTGTGACCCTGGGCAAGTCCCTTAACCTTGTTTGCCTCACCTTCATCTGTAAAATGAGCTGGAGAAGGAAATGGCAAACCACTCTAGTATCTTTGTCAAGAAAACCCCAAATGGGGTCACGAAGAGTTAGACATGATTGAAACAGGGATAATAATAGCATCTACCTCACAAGAGTTGCTGTGAGGTTCGAGTGAGATAATAATTATAAAGTGCTTAGGACAGTGACTGACACATGGTAAATGCAATATAAATGTTAGCTATTTATATGATTATTATACACAGTCAGTCAAGGCTACTATATTGGTTGTTTCTGCTTAACTGCTTTTTCTGTGATGCAGGGAGGGTTCAGCAGGCGTTTAGTTTAGGAGAATTGAAAATGTCAGGAAATTACTATTATGTAAAAATAAAAGTTATCAATAAAACATAAAAAACATTTTAAAATAAATGAGCATGGATGAGCTTTAACCAACTATTGAAATTGTAATGGGGACAAATTAGTGAAATTTTGCTTACCTCTACCATTCTAATGTCAGCTGTATGGCATGCAAAGACTTTGCATTTCCTACAAAGTAGTCTTTTGTTGTTCTCCTCCAGCTGTGGTTTAGCTACTATTATATTATCTCTGATAGCTTTTTCTTGAAGTTGCAAATCATGGATCTAAGAAAAATTAAAGCATTGTTTTAAAACATATTAGTCCTCAAGATACCTGAATAGCCCCATTCAACATTGGCACTTGAAAAGCTAAGGCCAGGTAGCAGTCTGGCTAGACAAAACACTCAGCACATAGCATGTGCTTAATAAATGCTTACTGTTGGGGCCTGTGTCATGGAGGAAACAAGTGATCCTGCCTAGTACTCCTGTCCCTTGGCATTTGACATTTCATGGCCTTCTATGACTGCTCTCCTGTTCTGCACATCCATCTTCTAACTCAGCATTGGAGGAATACTGAATGCTCACAATACCATACCCTTATTAGGACTGTACAATTTTCTGTACCTCACCTCTTCTGTTGTGCTAAGGATAAAGGGATGTCAATGTCTGGTTCAAAGCCTGTATTCCTAGTTTATTGACCAGATTGACACAGATCAGAGATCTGAGATCACAAATCAGAGACTCCACTAGATTTGGAGTCAGAGGACTCATTAAAAGCATAATTACGATTCCATGTAAATTCTACAGAGAAAGTCAACACAAGAAAGATGGCAAGCTCTCTGCGTTGAAATTCTGAAAACAAAAAAGATCATTCTAGTCATTAAAAAGGGCAGTTTAAACCATCTGAGGAGCATCTGAGGAGCAAGAGAAAGAGCTGGGGATATTTAACCAAAAAGAAGATTAGACTTAAAGGGGCCATGACTGCTATTTTCAAATAGCTCAAAGGCTACAAAGAAGAAGGATTGGGCTTGTTCTGCTTGGCCTCAAGGTCGGAACGAGGAGCAATGAGTAGAAGCTACCAACAGGTTTATTGCAAAGAAAAAACTTCTTGATAATTACAACTATCCAAAAGTGAAATGGGATGGCTAAAGAGGAACTGGGTTTCACAATACTAGGAGAAAAAGCTGGATAACCACTTACTGGGTACAATGTAAGATGGACTCTTGTTCAGGTACAATTTGGAGATTCTGTAATTAAGGGAATCCTAGTTCTGCTACTGATTACCTAGATGACTTTGAGCAAGTCCATTCACCATTCTGAGCCTTAATATCCCCAACTGTAAAATGTGGGGGTGAAATAGGACGATCTCCAAGACTACCTTCTGCCCAAAGTCCTCTACTGTGCCTAGCAGGTATCTTTTGATTTCAAGTGACGATAATAATGATGATGGTTTGTCTTTAATGTCAATACACTAAAATGTCACTAGATGGCAATGTAACTTCATGAAAAAGGGGTTTCCCCTCAGTAAAATGGAAAAAATAGTAAGGATTTTCTTTGATGAAAAATAATAATTTTTAAAATGCATATGTTTCCAAATTTTAGATAGGTTTTTTGGTAAATGTCAAAATTTGTTATGAAGAATATTTTATCTAAAGAAAATTGTATTTCCCCCTCCCCCAAAAAAGACTACTATTTCCAATTCAAGGAGCACTTGGCTTCTCAGTACTTTTCCAAGCATCAAGATCTCATTTTTGAAGCAATAAAAGTACTGATATTTATTTACTGAGGGAGGGAGTATCTTATAGTCAAAAGAGCACTGACTTTTGAGACTGAGGATGCCCCAGAAAAAAGAGAGAACAACTGTGCCCTAGAGGTCAAACTAGTATTCACTTATCCACAATTTCAAGTTGTAGTGAGAAAATTAGCCCATAAGTGTGTGAAATGAAATATAAATGATTCTGTCTGAAGGAGACAAAGTGAGTTGAAAGAGAAGTGAAATTATTCTCTAGCAAAAAAAAAAAAACTTGTAGGACATGTATAACCTGTATTGAGTTGCTTGTCTTCTCAATGAGGGTGGGTGGAGAGGGAGGAAGAGAGAAAATTTGGAACCCAAAGTTTTAAAAACAAATGTTAAAAATTATTTTTACATGCAACTGGGAAATAAGATACAAGCAATGGGGTATAGAAATCTATCCTGCTCTACAGGAAAATAGAAGGGGAAAGGGATAAGAGAAGGGCGGGGGGAGATAGAAGGTTGAGCAGATTAGAGGAAGAATTACATTCAGAATGTATGCCATCTTGGGGTGGGGGGAGGGACGAGATGGGGAGAAAATTTGGAACTCAAAATCTTCTGGAAGTGAATGCTGAAAACTAAAAATAAATCAATTAACAAGAGAATTTTAAAAAAAACCAAAACTTGTAGGCAGTAAGGTCCTGAAACCCCTTCTCTCTCTCTCTCTCTCTCACACACACACACACACACACACACACACACACACACACATATTTTTAATCATATATATAATGAGGAAGTAGAACATGATGTCAACGAGAACTTCCTGTTCTAACATTCTATGATTTAGCCTGCATAAAGCCAAAAGATTTTTCCTCCCAGAGGGAGTTCAGTGCCTTTCCAGGGGTTTTTGGAACGAAATTTCATTAAGACATTTAGAAGAAATACTTTTTCTCAGACTGCTCCAAGGTATTTTCACAGGTCTAAAGAGGAACTGGCTGTTTACTTAGAAGTGAAGACAAACTTAAAAGGAAGTGACTACTCAAGTTTAGTCCTCATGATAGACAAGGAAGGCCAAAATCTGGGTAGATACAGGCACTCTGAATTTGGGGAGAGATGATTTCAAAGTTCAGAGGAAAAATAAGAATTCTTCTTATTTTATTATGAAAGTTCTATAGGAAAAGCCAGTCTAAGAGGAGAAGCATGCTATTATTTGCCAAGAAAGGCAGTATGGTGTAGTGGATAGAATGCTGGATTTGGAGCCAGGCATTCATCCGTAGCTTCTTAACGTGGTCCTATTTCCCATCAGTGACAATAGCCCTAATTTTCCCCTCATTATCCTCTTTTCCCCACTCCTTTCTTCTTCAGTCCAACCTATCTAACCACTCATCAATCCGTATAATATAGCTTGGAAGATATTGGTGACTCCTTGGCCTACATGATAAACTCCAAAAGCCTTAGCCTGAAATTTTCCCCAACTCTAGCAAACAAAGGTTAATACCTTTAATTTTAATCCCTTTAATAAGAAGGCAATGGAAGTATGATCCTTATAGCTTCATCAGGACCATTATCACCTGTATTTAACCTGAGTCAGTTTTTGCCCAGGCCTTTATCACCCCAACCATTAGCCCGATAAGAAAACTCACCTTTCTTATAAGTACTTCCTCATTCCATGTCTGTATTTCTTCTATGGCATCATTCATCATTTTTTCTTTATATATATTGATCTGTTCTTTTTCAATTACTTCTTCCTTACTAGACAGAAGGAAGCATTTGCTCCCTCTTGCTCTTCCACGACCTGTAAGATAGGATATGCCATTTATTATGTTTTCAGACTTTAAAAGCACAGAATGCCATCAGAAAAGAGGATAACATAGGACAATGCCCACAGGCTTATTTTGCTTTATGGAACAAACACGGTCCCTATTTCCAATTTGGGAAAATAAAAAATCCTTAGCTTGGCCATTATGGACCTCCACATATGGTTCCAACCTACCTTTTCTAGCCTTACTTCACATTATTCCTTTTGATACATTCTACATTCCAGCCAAACTAAACCACCAGCTGTTCTCTTATGCCAACATGGCATCTCCTGCTGCTTGTCTAGGCTACTTCTTGTGCCTGAAATGCACTTGTTCCTCATCTCCACCTTTCTTTTTTGCTTTCATCTCTTCCAGTAGCACCAATCTTCAGGTTCCCCTCAAATATTACTAGAATATTATGTTGTTCCTTTGTTCCCATCACTAAGTACCTTATATTTTGTTTATCTGTGTGTGTATTTGTGTATTCCTGTCTAGAATTTTATTTTATATGTATATATGTATACATACACATATATATTTGTACATATATCTAATACACAAAAACATAAATTTACACATGAAGTATATGTATTCACACGTATACAAAGATGTACATATATTCACACATATATACACAGAGATCTACATATACATATATTCATATACACACACACACACACATGCACACATTATATCTCCTTCACTAAAATATGAGTTCCTATAGTGCCAGCAGGAAATGTACCAGATTTTAGGAGGTAGCCAGGTGATGCAATGGATAGAGAGATAGGCCTGAAGTCAGGAGGACCTGAGTTCAAATCTAGTCTCAGATGCTTACTAATGTGTGACCCTAGGCAAGTCACCCATTCTCTGTTTGCCTCAGTTTCTTCAATTATAAAATGAGGATAATAATAATAATACCACCTACCTCCCAGGTTATTGTGAGGATCAAATGAGATAATAGTTGTAAAGCGTTTAGCGAAGCGTGCTACATAAATGCTTATTCCCTTTTTTACCTTTTATTTCTATTTCTAGCACAGTAGTTAAACGTTGTTGGGCTGATTGTTGGGGGGTTGGGTGGGGAGATACATAGTCTAGATTATATAATATGCAATTTCATTAGTGTAGGCTATCTTCCTCTACCAATGCAGACCATCACCTTCTCTGCATCTTACCTCTTAGAGAGTTCTATGAGGCCCTGAGATAACTGCCTCGCTCTGTGGTCACCTAGCCAGAATGTGTCAGAGACTGGTCTTCAACCAAGGTCTTCCTAACTCTGAGGTGTGCTCTCCCCCACTATTCCATGCTGCCTCTCAGTATTGATGCATGGCAGACACTTCATGTTTATTGACTTGAATCACTTCCATGACAGCATAGGATATGGGGAAGAAGAGGCAAAAGATCCAGCTCCATCATTTAACATCTGTGTGGTCCTGAGCAATTCCCTTAACCACTCTGGGCTTCAGTTTTCTCATATGTAACATGCAGTGGTAAAACTAGATAATTTCTGAGGTCCTTCCCAGCTTTAAATCCAATGAACCTCCTAACAATTAAAGCTGCTTAAAAAACAGAATGAGTTGCCTAATGATATACTGACCTCTCCACCTGAGATACTTCAGCAGAGCCAGGATTATCACCTGTCAGAGATGCAGAAGGAACTTATGTTTCCTGAGAAGATGGCATTTTCCAACCCAGACCATAATTAAACTATATTTTGTCATATCCCACCCTGTCTCTTAACCTTTAGCCTATGTATTAACGTTCCCTATGGCTCAGAAGGCAGGGACAGGAGCTAGAGTGAAATACAGAGCATGACACAGGGAGGGTGCATAAAAAGCATTTGTTAATTGCTTATTTTGTACCAGGCTTTGTGCTAAGTACTAGGGATAACAAAGAAAAGCAAGAGGAACAAGAGAGGATAAGTCAGGGTTTTTTTTTTCTTTTTTCATTTACAGGCTATAAAATAGTACCTTTAGCTGTAAAAGTTTTCCAGAATGTTACATATGTTCAGCAGACAGGTGGCTGGAAAACACTGGACTACATGACCCCTAAATTCCTTCCAACTCTGGGATTCTTTTTATTTAGAAAGGTTGGATCATATCATAGGTACAATCCTACAAAGTCACTAGTTAGGTTAAAATCCTACACTTGGGTTCTTCCTCACAATCAATTAACCAATGGTGCAAGTACAGGATAGCTAGACAAAATTGATATGAAAAATCATATGGGGATTTTACTGGACTGCCAACTGCCAACAGTGTGACATGGCAGCCAAAAAAAAGTCATTTTGATTTTATGTTGCATTAAGAAGGACATAGTGTTTAGAAAGAGAGAGGTAAGAGTCTCACTGTACTAATGAAATCATATCTTTCCTATAAGTTTCGCTTCTGAGTGCCATATTCTAAGAGGAACATTGACATTTTCCATAATAATTGCAAACACTACATTTAATGTCTTATTTAATCTCCTTATTTAATGCCTTACTTGATTTTGTTACTCAAGAAATCAGTGAACAAATCGTTTCTGTGGTTGTCATGTGGTTTTCATGGAGTCCCTTATGAACTTAACATATGTGTGGGTGAAACCTTTCTGGAAGAAAGCCTTGAAAGTTGAATTCTGGTATACTTAGTCAATTTTTTACAGTAAACAACAAACAACAAACACCGTGGCACATTGTATTCTCTATATATCTCAGTCAACCATGTAATAAGATGTGTTACAAAAAAATAGTCCACAAAATCTTGTCTAATTTCTTCTCATGTTTTCATTAAATCAGCTCTAGTTAGTGACAAAATAACAAATTTTGGAAGAATTAGTTAAATCATACTAAAGAATCCTGAACAGTCTGAAGTATGGCAAGGACTTGCAACAAAAACAAATTACTAATTTATAAATTCTTACCATTTAGGTTAGTTTGCCTAGAATTTAGAGTGTGTCAGCTCTGTGACAAATGTCCTCACTTCCTTCCATGACCATTGGGTCATAAACCCAGATGTTGTCAAGATAGTTTTTTAAAAGGCAAAGACTGAGACAAACAAAGAAACTGTAGAGATTAAGTCTATTCTAAGCAGGAGAATTAGTTGGTAGAAACACTGAAAACAATGACTCCAAAGTTTCTCTGACCTCTGGTTTGAATCATCTTGATGACGTTGCCAACATATTCATACAAAATGACCAGATTGCATTGTGCAATGTCAATGCCTTCATCAGCAACTGAAGTGGCAATCAGAATCTTGTTCTCTCCACTGGTTCTGAATGTATCCAGTACACCCTTCTGTGATGGGAGAGTCATACCTGTGTCACAGTGTTAAAAGTCAAAGAACAATAATGGGGTAAAGAAAGTTCAAATTTGGAATCTCGTGAAACAGACAAATACAAAATTGACCATCATAACTGAGAGGACCCAGTTATCATAATGGTGAAGTGGTTGAAAGGAGGAGGGGGACAGAGGATACTAAGAATCACATAGTTCTTAAACAACCTACATTGTTAATTCAACTCTTGAAATCTTAAATGTGAGACTTTTTGTCCAGTAACTGAGCTGAAGCATCATTATAGGAACTAAACCACGTCCATGTTGACATTTATAAGTCCCGTATGAATGGAAGAGAAGGTAGACTGGATACGTGGAGAGAATGATTTATGAAAGACTGGCAGCTTGAGTGGTAAGTGGTACATTGTTACCCCTATATATTAGATCATAAAGAGCTGAAACGGACTGGATTCTTTGTGAATCTGAGCAAGTTACTTGACATCATTCAGCCTTAGTTTCCTAACCTGGAAAGTGGGGAAAAATCCTTGCAGAACACTGCCTGGATGGAGTCACAAGCCTGCGATAGTATTCCAAGCAGATCACAGGACACAGCTGAGGAATGGACTGCAGAGACTATCTAATCCAACCCTTTCATTTTGTAATTGAGGATAGAGAGTCCCGTAGGGGTTGGGTGACACAACAACAACAAAAATAAACAACAGCATTTATATAGCACTTTAAGGTTTAGGTAAGCTTATTCCTTCCACTTAACTAACTGATAAGCAACTATAAAGCAATTCCCATCTATTCCCTTAGCAATTGCATTTAAGTAACTGAGTTTTCTCATTGACGAAGAACAGAGGTTTCTTAACCTGAGGTCTGTGAACTTGTTCTTTTAAACACTTGGATAATTATATTTCAATATAATTGTTTCCTTTATAATTCTCTATATTTTCTTTTATTCATTTAAAAACATCATTCTGAGAAAGGGTCCATTGGCTTCATGAGACTTCCAAAGGGGTCCATGACACACATAAAAAAGTTAAGAACCCCTGGTGTAGAGATTAGAAAGCTCTTTCAAATGTCTTCACTGTAATTGATGGTGCCCATATAGGTTTTGAGTTTATTCCTCCTACATTTCCAGTTAAGGAATCAAGAATGGTCTCATTATTAGGTCAAGACGAATTTTTTTCATCAACATAAATAAGAAATATTAAACATCAATTATCTGCAAGGTCCTAGGAGAGAGAAGGTAGAGAGGCTGGAAAGATCATCTGAATTTCAAGATTGGGAGTTTATCTTGTAGGTTGGGGTCATCAACCTTTTCAAGAGTTAGATCTCTGTTTCATTTCTTGTAGATCCTATTTAACTAGTTAAGAACAAAAAACATTTAATGAAAAGGGAGTGACATCAAGTGATTTTTAGTCAGATTACTTTGTAATCTAGTTTGAGTATGAAAGAACCATCACCACAAAACAATAAGAAAATGAATATTGCAAAATTACAATGAACAAACTGACCCCAAAAGGAGAACTATGAGAAGACACAGGTGCTATCTTTGCAAAGGTGGGAAAGGGGAGAGCTAGAAGGTCTACAGATCATGACATGTATTGTCAGATTTTTTTCAATGGATTGATCAGTTTTGTTAATTCTTTTTTTCTTCTTCCTCTTTTTTTTCCCCTCTAATGTTTATAAGGAATAGTTTACTGACAGAAGGGAATGGAAGAGATATAGAAAGAAATTAGATGATATAAAAATAAGAAATATCAATAAAATTATTTTTAAAATAAAGTTAAAGATATATACTTATTCATCCTCACTCTGAAGCTATTCTAATATAAAATACCTGTATTCTGATTTCTTTTGCCACGTCCAGTCAACACAACAGGTTTTAGATAGCTTAGTTTGGGATTTTCTTCCATCCATTTCTTCAAAGCCTAAAGGAAAAATTATCCATTAGTAATTATTTTCAGAGAAGAGCCTCAACCATGTTGGATGGCCTAGCTGACAGAGCACCAGAGTAGAATCAGAAAGACTTGAGTTCAGAGATTGCTTTTGGTTTTTTGGGTTTTTTTTTTTTGCCTTTTTTTGTATCTCCAGTGCTTAGCACAGTGCTTGACACACGGTAGATGCTTAATAAATGCTTGTTTACTTAAAGAGTAAAATAAAACTGTATGCTATAAAACAATAATGATTAATAATAATTAGCCATCTTGTACTTCAAAATAAGTAGGGAAATGTACCTTACTTTTTTCACTAGAGAGGTAGGGACCAAAGAATATGGACATATTCTCAGACATGACTTTAGTTTTAATTTCTTTTTTTCTTTTTTCCTTTGTTACAAGAAAAGCCTCACTACTGGGTTTTGGGGAAAGGGGAAGGAGTATATACGCAGAAATTATTGTTATATACAAGCAAAAGGCATCAATAACAATTAAACTTTAAAAACTGAATTTAAAAAAATTAAATAACCTAGGTAGCTCTCCATTCGGAAAAGAAAAGTAATTTCCTTAATGCGTCACCAAAAACATACCATATCAATAACATAAACAAGCCCTGAAAAACTTTACCAAGGCAAAACCAGTTGACTGTGAGGAGAGGAAGAAGGGGAGGATGGTTTGGATTTTGGTGGATTGGTTGGTTTTTGTTTTGTTCTTCTTTTTCTAACTATTTCAGAGAACACCTACTAATAAATATTCTTGATCCCTCTTATGGATAGGATCACAGATTCAGACCTGGAAGGGACCCAAGAGGTCAGTTACTTTTGCTTTTTTTTTTTTATTTTGTGAGGCAACTGGGGTTAAGTGACTTGCCCAGTGTCACATAGCTAGTGTCAAATGTCTGAGGCCAGATTTGAACTCAGGTCCTCCTGACTCCAGGGCTGGTGCTCTATCCACTTAGCCACCTAGCTGCCCCTGAGATCAGCTTCTCTTTCTTGTTCAGCCACGTCCAACTCTTCATGATCCCCTTTGTGGTTTTCTTGGCAAAGATACTGGAGTGGTTTGCTATTTCCTTCTCCAGATCATTTTACAGATGAGGAACAGAGGCAAACAGGGTTAAGTTAACATATCCAGGATCACATAGCTAGTAACTGTCTGAGGCCAGATTTGAACTCAGGAAGATGAGTCTTCCTGACTGCAGGCCTGGCACTCTATCCACTGCAACCACCTAGCTGCTAGCTACTCTAGCCCCCTCATTTTACACTCAAGGAAATTGAGACCCACAAAGGAGGCCTGACTTTGCCCAAGATTACATGGGTAGGAAATGGCAGAACCATTAAAACCCAAATCTTCTGACTCCACACCCACAGTTCTTTCTATTCCCACAGAATACTCCCTTCCAAAGTTTAGAGAAACATGGCTTACATCTGCCAGAGCTCTTGTCTTCACAAAGAAAATGGTCTGGGTCTCTGGGTTTTCGTGATATTGTTCTTCCAAGATGAAAGTGAGCTCATTCAACTTGAGATTCTCATTGCTTGGATCTGTTGAAATATCTTCTAGTTCCTGAATCTTTTCTGGAAAAACAAAAGGGGGGGATATACTTTTTTTATTAAGGCCTTCTTAGACTCATCAGTAATTAGATCATACTTTAATAGATGTAGCTCAAGAGCTGGCCCTCTCAATCTCTGGCCAGGGTTTAGGCTAAGGAATGTGAGAGCCCTCGGAAGACTATAGAGAATTATATAAAACAAGCAGTTACTGGAGGAACTCAACATATGAAGACTATTTCCTCTGAAAGAATTCAAATGCAGTGCCAGACAGTGGCAGTTTGACCTTAGGCAAATGACTTAACCTGCCTCAGTTTTCTCATATTTAAAATGGGAATATTACTAGCATATACCTCTCAGTTGTTTTAAAGATAAAACAAAATATTTGTAAAGTGTTTTGCAAACTTTATAATACTATATAAATGCAAGCAGCTAGTACTACTACTTCTACATCCTTTTTCATGAAAAATATTTCTATATTAGCTATGTTGCATATAAAATACTATAAAAAGCAAGAAAAATAAAGAAAGTGAAAAAGTATGCTTTAATCTTCACTCAATTCATCAGTTCTCTCTCTGGAGGTGGAGAATATTTTTTAACATGGGTCCTTTGGAACTGTCTTGGTTCACTGTCTTGATCAGAATAGCTAAGTCTTTCACAGTTGATCATCATCACTATATTACTGTTACTGTGTACAGTGTTCTGGTTCTGCTTGCTTCACCTTCCCAGGTTTTTCTGAAATCATTCTGCTCATCATTTCTTATAGCATAATGATATGCCATAATAATCATATACCACAACTTGTTCAGCCTTTTCCCAATTGATGGGCATCCCCTCAATTCTTTGCCACAACAAAAAGAACTGCTGTAAATAATTTTGTACATATAGATCATTTCCCTTTTCTTTGATAATTATTATATCCTTGTATTTTAATCTCCTCAAAATATTAAGTGACTCAAGCAATGTATCTTATAACTTGCACTTGGCAAGGCATTATTTCTATAATCTGCTACTATTTCACTATAAGTTGAAATGTTCACTAGGGATCTTCTAATTCTTTCTCATATCTTCATTATTTTATTAATCCTAGTCACACTTCACTGATCACTGCCAAGAAAGGTGTGGGTTTTGTTGTCTTTGGATTTGGGTTGTTTTTTTTTTGTCCAGACCTAGCATTATACTGAAGAAGTAAATTTCCAGAGAGAAAATTCCTTTTACTAATATAGATCTGCACCTGCTCTGTAATTTTTAACCTTAGAGAGCTGCCTGGGAACATTTAGAGGTTCATTGATTTTCCCAGGGTTACATAATATATGTTAGAGACAGGCCCTGAATCCAGCTCTTCCTAATTCTGAGACAAAATCCCTAACCATTCTGCAATATTTCCTTTTGACACCAATTTTATGTGTCAGATACACTGATGACTTACTATGATATTTGGGAAATGTAGAGCACTGGTTCTCCAGTCTTCTCCATCACTGTTCTTCTCCACCAGAATCACCTACCTTTAAACCGATGAATGAGGTACTGCTCAGTCTCATCAAATGACTCTGCTTCTCTGAAGAATTCTTTCAAGTATCTCACAGCATCTTGGATTCGAGCATCTTCACTGATGATGATGGCATCATTATATTTCTATTTAGAATTAAAGATGAGGAATCACTAAGAGTAAATAGTTATAAGTTAAAAGAACTTGAGGTTTTACCTCACAACCAAGCAAATTGGTAAAGATATGAATAAATTCTGGAAAGCCAATTAAAAAAACCAGGCATATTCATGTGCTTTATGAAGTGATGAATTGGTCCAACACCAACCATTCATATAATTAATGAAGTGGTGAACTGATCAAACCATTCTGGATAGTCTTTGTAAATTATACTAAGAAAATGACCAAAATATTTATAGCAGCACTTTATGTGATAGCGAAGAACTAGAAACAAAATGGATTTACATTGGCTGGGGAGTGGCTCAGAAAAGCATGGTACATGAATGTGACAGAATATTACCATTCTGTAAGAAATAATGATCTTGTCCAACCCCTGATTTTACAGAAGAGTAAAAGTGACTCCTTTGGTAGTACAGAGTATATATGGATGTCTTCTCAGAAGGATGATTTCTATATTCATAAATGAAGGAAATGTTAAATTTCATCTAGAGATTAATGAAAATAAAGATGCAAATTTTTCAGCCACTTAAGTTCATGGACACTCTAAAATTTATTCACACTTGCTTAGGGGACCATAAACTCCAGGCTAAGAATTCATGGATCAGATGACCTTTGCAGTTCGAAAACACTACAACAAGAGGCCAGTTAAAATTACACAAGAGAAAATAGTGGTGATCAAATTTGTATAACTCTACTTCTAGCAGCATCCTTTGGATTTGGAATAGGGCTGGAGAAGGCAGATATGGATAATTCAAAGCTAGAGGCTGGCACGAGGAGGGGGAGAGGGAATGTTAACTACAAGCTGAAGTTTAGCTCTACATATAGTTGAAGCTGGATAAATATTTGTTGAATTGAATCTAAAGAAATGGAAGTCAAGAAAGTGGTATGAATGGCAATGAAATGTCTGATAATGAAGTCCTGGTTGGGTAAGGAACTTAATTGAGTCAAAGGTAGGAGTGTGTATGTGTGTTAATGTACAAAGTCATATGGAAAGGCTTGAATGATGACTGTTTTGATGATAAACAGTTATAGGGTAAGAGCATTGGGGTAAGGGGACTGGGACAGATATAGAGGTTGTGGCCATAGAAAATGGCTGTTAAATTAAGTTCAGGATTTCAGCAGTGGAACAGTGTTGTGGGATGAAGTCTAGGATATGGCCACATTGTTGGGTAGCTGGAGATTATCAAGTATCTAAGAAGGTCTTCATAGGATAAAAAATCCAGGGGTACATGGGACCTCTTTTTTTCTAAAGGCTAGATCAGTCACCAAGCCCCTAACATCATTCCATCTAGTGTCATTCAGGGAGGCAGGTTGGATGCCAGCTTTTTGCTTGCTGTCAGGGTCCACACGTCACATCAGAGTTCATCAATTTATTCTTATAATTGGAAACTGCTATTCCAATAAGGAAAAAACCCAAGCCTGGTTGATTGATGAATCCCACAAAGGTACATCACTCCTTTCTGCATCACTAGAAATAGAGGCCTCACTGTGCCAATATCATAAAAATGACAAGGCTACCAAAATTAATTTTCATACTTAGTGTTACATGATCAAACTACCGATGAGAAACTTTACAGAGTGAGATAAAAGAATAACAAAATTTATTTGGAGGAATAAAAGATCTAGAATATTTAGAGAAATGATGAAAAAAAGGTGTAAGAATGAAAGGAGAAAATTGGACTTCTGGGAGCCAAGATGGTGGAGTAAGCAGTAAGTCACTCTCACTCTCCCTTATTGACCTCTAACAACCCAGAAAATATCACCCTATGAAAAATTCTGGAACAGCAGTGCCAGCAGAAAGATAGGGTACAGTAGTCTTTTAGCCTGGGAGACTTGAGGGATTAACAGGAAAGGTCCCTCTCACTCTGGTGAAAAGGGAGCAGTACAGGACTGGAGATGTCCTGGCAAGCCCCACCTCAGCAAACCAGCAGGAGATCCTAAGCTCGAGGGGAACGGGCAGACTCCAGGTAGGAGAAACACCATGTGAACTGGCAGGCAGGTGTCCTCTAGTAGCCAAGCCTCCCTATACTTCAGTGCAGCCCAGGTGAGTGGGCATCCTCCAGAAGCCAGACCCCCAACTCCACTCCCACCCTGAGAACTGTAGGGTAGCCCTGAGGAAGTGCAGGTAAATCACACCTGGCCTCAGTACATGCCAGCCACCACCACGAGGATCCCAGCTCAACACCAGGTGAGCTGCCAGATCCCTATAGACCCCAGCACACAAAGCCAGTGACCAGGTACCTGTCCCCCAGCACAAGAAGCTTGGGAGAGAGCCCCCTCTGCTCCAGCAGGAGAGCTCAACTTTAAAAGCCAGAAAATAGGCAAACATGAGCAAAAAAGCAGAAACGGACAATGACCATAGATTCTTTCTATGGGGACAGGGAAGAGCAAAATACAAATTCAGAAGAGGACAATGTTGTCAATATACCCACATCTGTAAACCTCGAAGGGAAATATGAACTGGTCTCAAGCCAAAAAAGCCTTCTTGGAAGAGCTCAAGAAGGATTTTAAAAGTCAAATAAGAGAAGTAGAAGAAAAATTGGGAAAAGAAATGAGAGGTATGAAAGAGAGAGTCAGCAGCTTGGAAAAGGATGGACAAAAATTGACTGTAGAAAACAAGTGCTTAAAAAATACAATTGACCAAATGGAAAAAGTACACAGAAGAAAACAACTCCTTAAAAAGTAGAATTGGCCAAATGGAAAAGGAGATACAAAAGCTAACTGAAGAAACCAATTCATTAAAAAGTAGAATTGGCCAAGTGGAAGCTAATGACTCTATGAGACATCAAGAATCAGTCAAACAAAATCAAAAGAATGAAAAAATAGAAGAAAACATAAAATATCTCATTGGAAAAACAACTGATTTGGAAAATAGATCCAGGAGAGATTATTTAAGAATTATTGGTCCACCAGAAAGCCATGATGAAAAAAAAGAGCCTGGATAACATCTTTTAAGAAATTATCAAGGAAAACTGCCATGAGATCTTAGAACCAGAGGATAAAATAGTCATTAAAAGAATCCACTGATCACCTCCTGAGATTCCCAAAATGAAAATGCCAAGGAATATTGTAGCCAAATACCCAAATTACCAGATGAAGGAGAAAATACTGCAAGCAACCAGAAAGAAACAATTTAAATATTGTGGAACCACAGTCAGGATTATGCAGGACCTTGTGGCTTCTACATTAAAAAATTGGAGGGTTTGGAATATGATAATCTGTCAGGCAAAGGAGCTACAACCAAGGATCAACTACCTCATGAAATTGAGCATAATCTTTCAGAGGAGGAGATGGACATTCAATGAAATAGGGGACTTCCAAACCTTCCTGATGAAAAGACCAGAGCTCAACAGAAAATTTGATCTTCAAATACAAGACTCAAGAGAGGCATAAAAAAGTAAACAGGAAAGAAAAAAAACATGTTATTCAATAAGGGCAAACTGTTCACATCTCTATAGGGGAAGATGATACTTGTAATTCTTGAGAACTGTATTTTAATTATGACATTTAGAAGGGGTATACATAGACAGAAAGCATGAGTATAAGTTGACTTTGATGGGATGATTAAAAAAACTAATAAAAAGGTGAAATGGGATTGTACAGGGAGAAGAAGAAAGGAGGAGACAGAAAAGGGTAAATTATATCACATGAAGAGGCCTATTACAGTAGAGGGAAAGAAGGGAGGGAGATGAGCATTGTTTGAACCTTACTCTCATCAGATTTGGCTCAGAGGGAATAACATAGTTTAGTTACAGAAATCTAACTTACCCTATAGGAAGTAGGAGGGGAAAGGGGAAAGAAAAGAGAAGGGGCTGAAAAAAAGGAAGGCAGATTGAGGGAGGTGGTGGTCAAAAGCAAAACACTAGCAGGAAGGGAAAGGGAGAAAGGAGAAAGAAAAACATAAACAGGGGGGAAATAGGATGGAGAGTAAGACACAGTTAGTAATCATAACTGTGAATGTGACTGGGATGAACTCTCCCATAAAATGGAAGCAAATAGCAGAGTGGATCAAAAACCAGGATCCTACAATATGCTGTTTACAAGAAACACATTTGAAGCAGAGAGATACACACAGAGTAAAGATAAAAAGGCTGGAGTAGAATATATTATGCTTCAGCTGAAGTAAAAAAAGCAGGGGTAGCAATCCTCATCTCAGACAAAGCAAAAGCAAAAATAGATCTAATTAAAAGAGATAAGGAAGGAAACTACATCCTGCTAAAAGGCACCATAGACAATGAAGTAATATCGTTACTAAACATATACGCACAAAGTGGTATAGCATCCTGATTCTTAGAGAAGAAGTTAAGGGAGTTAAAGGAAGAAACAGACAGCAAAATTATACTAGTGGGGGACCTCAACCTCCCCCTCTCAGAACTAGATAAATCTAACCACAAAATGAATAAGAAAAAAAGTTAAGGAGGTGAATAGAATTTTAGAAAAGTTAGATATGGTAGACCTCTGTAAAAAACTGAATGGGGACAGAAAGGGATATACCTTTTTCTCAGTGGTACATGGCACCTACACAAAAATTGACCATTTATTAGGGCATAAAAACCTCACAATCCAATGCAGAAAGGCATAAATATTAAATGCATCCTTTTCAGATCATGATGCAATAAAAATTATGTGTAATAAAGGGCCATGGAAAGATAGATTAAAAATTAATTGGAAACTAAATAATCTAATCCTAAAGAATGAGGGGGTCAAACAATAAATCACAGAAACAATCAAGAACTTCATCCAAGAGAATGACAGTAATGAGACAACATACCAAAACATACGGGATGCAGTGAAAGTGGCTCTTAAGGGAAATTTTATATCTCTAAGTGCTTACATGAATAAAATAGAGAAAGAGGAGATCAATGAATTGGACATGCAACTAAAAAAGCTAGAAAAGAACAAATTTAAAATCCCCAATTAAATACCAAATTAGAAATTCTGAAAGCTAAAGGAGAGAAAAATAAAATTGAAATTAAGAAAACTATCGAAAACTAATAAATAAGACGAAGAGCTGGTTTTTATGAAAAAAAAACAATAAAATAGATAAACTTTTGGTTAATTTGATTTTAAAAAGGAAAGAAGAAAATCAAATTACCAATATCAAAAAATGGAAAAGGTGAATTCACCACCAATGAAGAGGAAATTAAAACAATAATTAGGAGATATTTTGTCCAACTGTATGCCAATAAATTTGACAACTTAGTGAAATGGATGAATATTTACAGAAACATAAATTGCTCAGGTTAACAGAAGAGGAAACAAAATATTTAAATAACCCCATTTCAGAAAAAGAAATTGAACAAGCCACCAATGAACTCCCTAAGCAAAAAATCTCCAGGGACAGATGGATTTACAAGTGAATTCTATCAAATATTTAAAGAGCAATTAATTCCAATACTATACAAACTATTTGGGAATATAGGTGAAGAAGGAGTCTTACCAAATTCTTTTTATGATACAAAATATGGTGCTAATACCTAAACTGGGAAGAGTCAAAACAGAGAAAGAAAATTATAGACCATTTTCCCTAATGAATATAGATGCTAAAACTTTAAATAAAATATTAACAAAGAGATTACATCAACTAATCTTGAGAATAATACACTATAACCTGGTAGGATTTATACCAGGAATGAAGGGCTGATTCAATATTAGGTAAACTATCAGCATAATTGACCATATGAACAAAAATCTAACAGAAATCATATAATGATCTCAATAGATACAGAAAAACCTTTGAAGAAATACAACCCCCATTCCTATTAAAAACATTAGAGAGCACAGGAATAAATGGAGTCTTCCTTAAAATGATAGGAAGCATCTATTTAAAACCATCAGCAAGCATTATATGTAATGGGGATAAGCTAGATGCATTTCCAATAAGATTGAGGGTGAAACAAGGAAGCACACTATCACCACTGTTATTCACTATTGCACTAGAAATGTTAGTTTTAGCAAAGAGAAGAAAAAGAAATTGAAGGAATTTAGAAGAGGCAAAGAAGAAATAAAGCTATCACTCTTTGCAGATGATATGATGGTATACTTAGAGAATCCTAGAGAATCAAGTAAAAAACTCCTTAAAATAATAAACAACTTTAGCAAAGTTGCAGGATATAAAATAAACCCAGATAAATCATTGGCATTTCTATATATTACTAACAAAGCCCAACAGCGAGAGACAGAAAGAGAAATTCCATTTAAAGTTATGGTAGACGTTATAAAATATTTGGAAGTCTATCTGCCAAAACAAACCCAGGAACTCTACGAACACAATCACAAAACACTTTTCACACAAATAAAGTCAGATCTAAATAATTGGGAAAATATCAGTTGCTCAAGGGTAGGCCGAACTAATATAATAAAAATGACAATTCTACTAAAAATAATTTACTTATTCAGTGCCATGTCAATTAAACTACCAAAAATTATTTTATAGGACTAGAAAAAATAATAACAAAATTTATCTGGAAGAACAAAAGGTCTAGAATATCAAGGGAATTAATGAAAAGAAATGGAAGGGAAGGTGGTCTATCTGTACCAGATCTCAAATTGTATTATAAAACAGTAATCACCAAAACTACTTGATACTGGCTAAGAAATAGTATGGTGGATCAGTGGAATAGGTTTGGTACACAAGACACAATAGTCAATGACTACAGTAATTTACTATTTGATAAATCCAAAGACTCTAGCTTCTGGGATAAGAACTCACTATTTAACAAAAAACTGCTGGGAAAATTGGAAAATAGTATGGCAGAAACTAGACATAGACTAATATCTTATACCCTATTCCAAGATAAAGTCAAAATGGGTACATGGGTACAAGACCAAAAGAATGAGCTGAAATAAATAAATAAACAAATATTCATTCATTCATTCATTCATTTATTTATTTATTGGGAACAAAATGGAAGGTGAGAACCAAGTATTATAAAATAAAGTCTAACATTCCAGAAAAAACCACAATGAAGAGGCAACATGGTATAGTGGAAAGAGGACTGACTCCAGAATCAGAGGATGTTGATTTGAATCCCACCTCTGATACTTACTATCTGTGTGACTTTGGGCAAGTCACTTAATCTCCTTGGGTCTCAGTTTCCTAATCTGTAAAATAACAAGGTTGTTCTCAGAGATACCTTACAGTTCTAGAACCACGTTCCTGTGATAACCCTAAAAGACAACTTCTGCCTATCAGCTATTTCTGGGCCAAAGGAAACCCAAGAGGCCTAACTTACTCTACTCTCTCAATATCCCCATTGTAAGCATGATCCCCTCACCTCCTACAAACTTTATTTCGAGGTTCTTGGGAATCAGGGCACAAAGTTAGCCTATATTGTAAGCTCAGTAATAGCTTCACCCAGTAAAACTATGACAAATAAGGCACTTACCCGTAAATTCGAAGTATATAGAAAAAGCTCTTTACAAATCCTTCTTTCTTTATTTTTGTCCTCCATTTGCAATAGCATGCACTTTTTGTGAACATCAATGATCCATTGTTCATATTTCTGGGTTCCAAAGACTCTATTCTGAATTTTAGATAAATTCTCTGGAAACCAAACAAACATAGTTTAGCACTGTTCATGAATTGCCAAATCACTTTATCAACCTCGCTTCCACTTCTATTTCCCCTAAATTTTAGCCAATGGGGGCACTAAGATTAACCTGTGATTATGAGCAAATCACTTCTTTTCTCTGTGCATCACTTTCCTCATCTTTAAAATGAGACAGCTGGACTAGATAAACTAAGGTTCATCCAGTTATAAATCAATGACCCTAAGAAATGCCCTGACTTCAGAGGTATTTTCTGCCAACAACCAAAGCTACTGAGGGAAAATATTTAAAATGCTTTTTAAAAAAAAATAATGACTGACTCAGTCCTCAAGGGGAGGGGAGTAAGATAAGAACAGGGTGATGAGAAATGTTGGAGGGAAAAAAAAATATTGAACTGGGTTTTTGTTTTGTTTTGTTGGAGTCATAAGATCTGTGTTCAAATCAATTGCTCTCTTAATTACTCTCTGGGTAATCTTCTGTGTTAGAGGCTTCAGTTTCTTCCACCCTAAAATGAAGGCTTGGACTGGATGATCTTTAAGGTCCCTCCTAGCTTCAGATATTATTATTCTGCCTTGCCTACCCCTAGTCCAAGGTATGATTGTATAAAATAATTACAAAACAATTTAGTATATGATAAGTGTCACTTCAGCAGTGTAGAAAAGAGTTGGCTAAGAGGCAGCAAAATTCTGCCTCAACAAAAAGAGTTAACAGACAATGATGGTACCATACTATTCTATTAAAGTTAAAACACCAATACTTCCTTTCTTTTAGCAGTCAACAACTATATAAATATAAAGTTTCATGTTGCTATCATTTGCAATCACATTATTAGGTAGTTTTGCTTAAATTTCATTTGAGGAATGTACATTATAGATGGCACTTGTTTGGATGTATTTGGAAGCATCACAACACAAGTCAATTATTTTTAAGCATTGTGCTCCTGCTAGACCTACGCTCAAAACAAAGTCCCTATACATCCCAAAATATTCACAATAGCACTCTTTGTGGTACAAAGAATTGGAAACAAAGTAGATGTCCATCAAATGGAAAATATTTAAATAAGCTATGTTACATGAATGTAACAGACTATTAACTGCCATAAAAAATGAGGAATGTGAAGAATTCAGAAGTATGGAAAGACTTATAAGACTGACATATAAATCAACACAATCAGGAAAATAATATTGTACAATGATTACAACAACATAAATGGAAAGAACAATGAAAGAAATTGAATGCTGTGTAATTATAACATTCAAGTTTAACCCCAAAGACAAGATGAAAACGTACCTCCCTCTCACCTTTGCAGAGGACAGAGAACTATGGGTGCCTGCCATCAGGCCTCAATGATGTGTTGGTTAGACTTATTGAATCACTTGCAGCTTTTTTTTATTCTTTGTTTGCTAGACGTGGCTCAGTGGGCAGGGGACAGGGGAGGGATATTAGTTGATAATGAATGACACGCAAACAAAAGAGATAAAAAAAAATTAAGTGTTAATGGAAATCCAGAGGAGGGAGCGACAGGTACAATTCCTGCTTCTAACTACAGAGAATCAAGAAAAGTTTCAGAGTGGGGAAAATGGGAGGAAGGACAATTTCTCTATTAAGTCCCAGATCAAGGGCTAAGATTTTAATAGTTGGAGATGGTTTTGGGGTGGATGGCAGTTGGGACATTCCAGCTAGAGAAAACATGAAGAGCAAAAGCAGGAAAACATGCCAGCTGTGTTTTCTGAAGACAAGTTAGACTAGTTTAGTTGGTATAAAGAATTCTTTAGCTGTAGAGATTTATGGTCTCTAAGGTCCTTCCCAGCTCTATAATTGATGCTTCTATAAGTAGGAGAGGAGTAAGTGATAAAGCTAGGTAAGTGCCAGACAATGGTCCATGTGCCTGGAGATGCTGGAGAGTGGTGGACTTGGAGATAAGAAAATCTAGGTTCAGATACTGCTTCTGACAGTTACTATTGGTGTGACCATAGATAAGCCATTTGACCTCAGTTTTCTCATTTGAATAGGCTGAACTAGATAAGCTTTAAGTCTCTAAATCTATGAATGTATGAGAGGGAGAGGAAAAATGGGATTTAGGGCACTGGTAAAGATGTTAGCTTTGAAGGAAAAACAGACAAATATGAAGTATCTGGCTTACTTTATCTAGAAAAGTGGACCACTTAGAATTGGCTATGCATTTACCAGGTATGAACGATGAATGATACAGCACAAAAATTATGTGAGTAGGTCATATGTAAACATGTATATATGTGTATTGGAGGGGAGAATTTAAGACATTCACTCACCTAGTTGATATTCTGGGGTTAGACCACATTCTTTAAAAGTCTTTTCTATCAGATTCTCTGCCTCTTCCATCAGCTTAGAAATCACAAATTTAAATCTGTTGACAGGCTGTGATTCAACTTTCCTGAACACTAGAATCATGAGAAGAGAATAAGCTTAGCCTGCTTAGAATGTGTTAGTTCCAATCCAGGTACATACCAGGTACATACCTTTACACAAACCATTATACAAAACATTAAGTACTATATATGTGTATGTGTGTGTGTGTGTGTATAAGTTTATATATGTATATATGTATGGATGTAGATGTAGATATATATGTGTATTTATATGTATATATATACACACACACATATACAAAGAGTGAAATTATACTTACTCACAAGGAGCTCACATTCTAAAAGAAGAGACAAGTATATGTGTAAGTGTATACGGCACAAACATAAAGTGAATTGATATATATACAAAGTAGTTTGATACAAGATAGTTCAGGCAGGGAGAGTACCTGCAGTTGGGGGAGGGGAAGAGTCAGGAAATGTTTCACACAGAAGCCTGAACTCCATCTTAAAGGAACAGAGGGCTTCTATGAGGTGAAAGTAAGGAGAGAATGCACTCCAGGTATGCGGAATGGCCAGTGAAAAGTCACAGACAGGAAATGGATTGTTGTGTGTGGGGAACACAAAGAAGGCCAGGTAGGCTGGCTCACAGAGTACAGGAATCAGGGAGGAATATCCAGTGAAGATAGAAAGACTGGTTGGGAGTAGGTTTGTATTTTATTGTAGAGGCAATAGAAAGCCAATGGAGTAGGAAAGTCACATGGCCAAATCTACATAAGGATAATTACTTTGGTAGCTATTGTAATATTCTGGGCAAGGTATGAGGAGAGACTGAACTAAAGTGATAGCTATATGAGAGATTAGATCGAGAAATATGGTAGGAGAAACAGTAAGATTTTGCAACTGACTGGTCATGTGGGGTGAGGAAGAGTGAGGAGTCCAGAATAATACCAAGGTTATGAACTTGAGAGTTTGAAAGTATGGTGGTGCCTTCAACAGAAATTGGGAAGTTTGGAAAAGGATGAAGTCTGGGGGGAAAAAAAAGATAGTAAGTCCAATTCAGGACTTTGAGTTTGAGATGTCTATAGGTTATCCAATGTGAAATTTCCAATAGACAGTTTGTGAAATCAAACTGAAGCTTAGGGAAAAGTCTGGAGCTCTTTGTGTGTGTGTGTGTATACACACATATGTATACATATATGTGATAAGGGTACCAAGAGAAAACACATTATACATACTCAAAAACTTGCCTGCCTGACTTTGAAAGTCTACCCTAATCTATACACACTCTATTCTTCCAACTTTATTTCCCTCCTACCCAATAAACATCCCATTACAGACAGGTTGGTCTCTTCTCTATGTGTGGGTCCCTTTGTGCCTTTGTCCATACTGTACACAAAATGGGTCCTGTGGTGGGAGACTTCAAATGTAGCGGTTCCATTGTCCCCTATCTCATTCTCTGTAAGACTTTATACCATCCTTCAAGGTCCTATTCTGATATCACCTCCACTATAATGCCTTTCCTGACTAATCCAATCTACTTAAGTCTTCCTATTCTCTAAGTGCAATAGGGTCCAATCAAGGGCTAAACTGTCTCTTATACATGCTCATTTTGCTTCTTCAATGAGTATAATTCTGAGTATATTGACGGTGTTACATATTTCTGTACCTCCTACAGCCCGTATCACAATCCCAGTAAAGACCTGTGGATCCAACAAATTCAACAAACATCCTTTCACTCCCTACTATATATGCAAGACATTGTGCTAAGAGCTGGAGATAAAAGAGGAAAAATAACAGTTGTTTTGCCCTCAAGGAGCTTATTTATAAAGAATCACAGAGGTAACTTCGGAGTTGGAAGGGACTGGAGAGGCCACTAAGTCCAATCCATACCTAAAAAAGATCCCCTTTCCTATATACCTGAGAAGTGGTCATTTAGTCAAAGCATCAAGTAATACAGAACCCTCCATACCTACAGAGATGCCCCGTGGTACTGTGGGGGAGCCCTAACGGCTGAGTATTTTTTCCTTACATATAGACTAAATCTACTTCCTTGCAACTTGTACTCACTGCTCCTTTTTTCTTTCTGGGACCAAACAGAACAAATATTCCTCTTCCCCATAAGTCCTTCAAATAACTTGAAGATCCTTTTCAACTTTTTAAACCAACATCTTAACATCTTTCACAACTGTCTTAAGTTTTCTCTTCTCCAGGACAAATACCTCAGTTCCTTCAACTAATCTCAATATAGCATACTTGCTGACTCAATCCAAATCTCTTAATTCTTTCTACCTTTTATACAATTTGTCCCACTTCCTATCACTCAACCCCACTTTCTCTTCTCTAGACTGTGGGCAAACTGCCATTTTTTCTAAACCTCATTCTCACTGCTTCTCTCTAGCTATAGCAGACATCTGGCTCTTCCAACTGATACTGTATTCCCCACACTGATTTTCCATGGAAGTCTCATTTTCTGTTCTCCCTGATTCAAAAGGAAAGAAAAAGGAGTCAGCTTTCTTTTTTAAATAAGGTGTTTTCCTGGCCACTAAACTCTGTTTCTTGTCATTTGGAATTCACAGTATCTGCTTATGACATCCTTCTGCCAATGATATCCTGCCTCTGAGGCAGACAGGTGGTGCTCTATCCATTGATAGAGTACCAGGTCTGGAGTCAGAAAGACCTGAGTTCAAAACTGGCCTCAAACACTTACTAGCTGTATGACCCTGGGCAAATCACAACCTTTGTTTGTCTGTTTCATCATTTGTAAAATAGGAATAATAATTACATCTATCTTCCAGGGTTGTTGTGAGGATCAAATGAGGTAATAATTGTAAAAGTGCTTAGAACAGTGCCTGGTATGTAAATGTTATGTAAATGGTAGCTATTATGATTATTCTGCCAATGACATCTTATCTCTGAGGCAGCTAGGTGATGCAGTGTGTATAGCACTGAGCCCGGAGTCAGGAACACCTGAGTTCAAATCTAGTTTCGTACACTTACTAGCTGTGTCACTCTGGGCAAGTCACTGAACCTTTTCTGCCTCGGTGTCCTCAACTGTAAATTGGGGATAATAATAGCATTCATCTCCTTGGGTTGTTGTGAGGATCAAATGAAACAATATTTGTGAAGCATTTAGCATAGTCCCTAATACACAGGCACTTAATAATAATTTCCTTCCTTTAAATCATCAACTAACAGGACTCATCTCTACATTTCTAGAGGACTTCAATAATTCACATTTTTTTCATCTCACTCTGTGGCTCCCCACATTATCCCTGGTGGCTTGGATATGTTCAAAACCCCAGCTGTTCTTCTGGGATGACTTTTGACTCTGGTATTTCCCATTTCCATGCCAGGTTAACTAATAACAATAATAGTTATATAGTGCTTTAAGGTAACAAAGCACTTTACAAATATTTTCTCATTTAATTCTCACAAAAACTGTAAGGTAGGTGCTATTATTATCCCCACTTTGCACATGAGGAAAATAAGCCAATTAGAGTTTAAGGGAGTTGCTCAGGGTCCTGCAGCTAGTAGGGTCCTGCAGCTAGTAGGTATCTAAGGAATAGATACCTCAAGTCTTCCTAACTCTAAGTCCAGCACTTTATCCACCAAACCACCTAAATATGCTTTGTTGTTCTTGCTGTTCAGTTGATTAGTCATGTCTGACACTTTGTGATTTGAGGTTTTCTTGGCAATGATACTGGAGTAGTTTGACTCCTCTCCAGCTCATTTTTTTTTTTTTTTGGTGAGGCAATTGGGGTTAAGTGACTTTCCCAGGGTCACACAGCTAGTAAGTGTCAAGTGTTTGGCCTGATGCCGGATTTGAACTCAGGTCCTCCTGACTTCAGGGCCGGCGCTCTATCCACTGCACCACCTAGCTGCCCCTCCAGCTCATTTTACAGATGAAGAATGGAAGCACACAAGGTTAAGTGTCTGAGGCCACATTTGAAATCAGGTCCTTCTGACTCTAGGACTGGCATTCTATCCACTTCACCACCTAACTGCTCAATAAATATACTCTAACAGGGACTTTGGCCTCAATAGGCCCAACACCACTGATGTTTATCTACTGCTTAGTGAGTAAAGAAAGCACCAAAGCTCCAAGAGGAGAACAGATTTCTTACAAGGAGTGGGAAAAGATCTTTTACAATGAATAGAGATGAAAGTTCCAAGTCCACGGAATGAACTCATTTAAGAAGCGTGGATGAAGAATATCTAATGTTAATAGCAGAATAAAACAGAGTCAAGTACTAACATTAACAGCTGAATAAAATAGAGTCCCAAGGAACTTATTACTAGACTTTACTTACATTTCTCTGGTTTGTAAACAACTTGCTCCAAATCACTCACATTCTTTTTGACTGTTGATATGACCGATGCATCAAGACAGGCACAGAGCTGACAAATATGTTCTATCGCACCAGACTTATCTTTGGCATCACCAACTCCTATGGAAGCAGTCAATCCAATGACCTAAGAACACACAATCACCCCAACAGTTACATTTCTTGGAAAAATAGTAAGCTTTGAGGCAGCTAGGTGGCACAATGAATAGAGCACTGGCCCTGGAGTCAGAAGGACCTGAGTTCACAGCCAGCTTTAGATATTTACTAGCTGTGTGAACTTGGACAAGTCACTTAACCCCAACTGCCTCAAAAAAAAAAAAAAAAGGCAATAAGCTTCTAAAAATGTCACCTACCCCATTCCCTCCAGTTAACATTTTTTTAAAAGAGGACAATAACTTGACAAACAAGCCATTGACTCAAGCCAAAGAAATTACTTTCCTAACATTTAGAGCAAAGAGCGTATAATTCTGACAGCAGAAAGGTGTCACTCAAGAAACACAAGCTGAATGAGTAAATGAATGAGTTAGGTACCTGCAAAGACTCTGGTTTATGACCTAGTTTCCAAAAGAACAAAAACACTCAATGGGGGAAAATAAATTGCCTTCATGATTAGAACCAAGGTCTCCTACCCTGTCCTGCATTCTTTCCATTAAAGCAAATTTTCTCCCTGTAGAGCAGTGATATCAAACTTGAAGAAAAATAGGGCCACTGAAAGTTGTCCTGCTGCCCCATTTTGACTTAGAAAACCACATATTAACATTATTTATGTTTCATGGTATTTTTATTTATTTTGTTAAATATTTCCCAATTACCTTCTAATCTAGTTCAGCTGTGATCACAAGTGTTACAAGTTGCTAGAGTTCCTGTTTGACACCTCTGCTGTAGAGGTGCTCACAGGAAAAATTAAATGGCTTCAAAGCAAAAAGAAGGCACCAGAGATGGTGTGAAATTCAAGATCTTGCTTGCTGTTTTTGTTTCTATTGCTTTTAATATAAAATTTAGTTCTAAGGCTCTCTCTTTAGGATTTCCATAAAGATTCTAAAGTTGGGGCAGCTAGGTGGCGCAGTGGATAGAGCACTGGCCTTGAAGTCAGGAGGACACGAGTTCAAATGTGAACTCAGACCAAACACTTGACACTTACTAGCTGTGTGACCCTGGGCAAGTCACTTAACCCCAATAGCCTTGAAAAAAAAAAAAAGATTCTAAAGTTAATTGGAGAGCTACGACTAGGCTCCAAGTCCAATGTTCTCTTTTCGCTAGGATATGTTATACTCATTTTAACAAGTGTATTCAAACAATCAATAAGCATTTATTAAGCACCTAATATATGCACTTCGAGATACCGGAAGAAAATAATGAATAGTTTTTACCTGAAGGCCTTACCTTCTCTAAGGGTGACAACACATACATGTGATAGATGTATGTAAAATAAATACAAGCTAATTTTGGAGACAGCATATTAAAGTGAACCAACACTGACTGCATTTTGTGACTCAATTCTAGAGCTAGCTCAGTTCCTTTTCAATTCAATTATGGGTCTAGTCCAATTTATGTCTTGTGAGAAAATGTTATTCAACTGTGGAAATTGTGGAAAAACTTCATTGCATTTTTGAACCTACTCCTGAGTTTCTGGGAAGCTAGACCTGCTTCTCAGACCTTAACTAAGGACGGAGGTTATGCTGACCAAAAACCCAGTCAAATCCAAAGATTAATGCAAGGAGTTTTCTCACAATTATACAACTCAAACAACCTATCTGTCTTATCTGAAAACTGGACCTATACTGGTCAATCAGTTATTGTTTCCATGTTTCTTTGATTGAATACAAACACTTTGAGGGGAGTGGGACACTTCTTTTCTAATTTCATCTTTTCATTCCCCCTTTCCCAACTTGGAAAGTCCCTAATCTTTCCTCCAATGAGAAATCAGATTACCTAATTTTGTATTCTGGTTAATTGTTTTCTTTTAATTAATTGGTCTTATTTGATTAATTGTTTTTAATACATAAAAATCTGTCTCACTTTGTATTCAGGGTCTTTGGACAGATTGGGGAATCCACTGACCCATTTATTATGCCTGTTTTTTTAATAAATCTTACAGCGAAGATTGTTTCCTCAGTTATTATCTACCACAGTATCTTGAGTGGGATTGCTACCAAGTAATGAATATTTTGGCCACAGCCACACATGAAAGAAGAAAAAGTACAAAATGGCTCTTAGTCCCATCTGGGCACCTCCCTTCTGCTTATACGTCAACAGAAGCAAACAGATGAGAATTGTTGTTTAGGTGCCAACATCTGTTGCAGAGAATGATGTAAAAAAATGTTATAGAGAACATGACAACATTCTACAAAAAAAGTCAAGTGCTATACATATAAGAGTTTTGTAAATATGTTGTGTTATTTCCTCTATTGGAAACTCCGTGGCAAAAAAAACATCCTCTAACAATGATAGCTAACATTTATAAAGTACTTTACATTTCTCAGTTATTCACAGTATCTCATTTGATCCTCACAAAAACCCTGTGAAGCAAGTGCTATTATTATCCCCATTTTAAAGATGAGGAAACAGGCTGAGAAAGGTTAAGCAACTTGTCCAAAGTCACACACCTAGTAAGTGTCTATGGCAAGATTCAGATTCAGGTCATCCTGACTCTAAATGCAGAACTTTATCAACTATACCACCTGGCTGCCAAAGCATACTGGCAATTGTTCTGCAATCAATAGCTGAAGAATTACCTGGGGCACTATAATAACAACAACAATAATAACAGCATTTAAATTATGCTTTTAGTTTGCAGAGTTCCTTACAAATATTATCTCCTTTGATCCTCAAAATAACCTTGGGATGAAGGTGATATAATACTCCATTTTATAGATGTGGAGACTGAGGCAGTGGTTAAGTGACTTTCCCAGAGTCACACAGCTAGTAAACATCTAAGACCAGATTTGTACTCAGATCTTCCTGGCTCCAGAACTTCCTGACAACCCACCACACAACCTAGCTGCCATCTGGAGGTTAAGTGACTACAAGGACTTGAACCCAGGTATTCCTGATTTCAAGGCTGGCTCTGAACATTACACTACCCTGACTATAAGTAATAGTTTTTATAACAATCATGAGAATAACAACCACTAGCACTTCAGGTCTGCGACCTGGAGAGAGACATCAAAGAAAATCATAAGAGTCACTTAAAAAAAGAGGTGGTATTAGTCATATTCTTATCACTGAGGAGTAAAGATCATAGATCCAGAGCCTGAAGAGACCCCAGAGGCCATCTTAGTCCAATCCTCCAGTTAGACTGTGAGCTCCTCAAGGGCAGGGACTTCTTTTGCCTTTTTTTATATCCCCAATGCTTAGTACAGTGCCTGGCACATAGTAGGTACTTAATAAAGGCTTTCTCATTTTACAGATGATAACATGGAGGCCCAGGAAGATTCAGCGATTTGTGCAGTTGTAGCTGCCAAAAGCAGGATTTTAATCCAGGCGCTCGGACTCCAGAGCTACTACTCTTTCAACTGTCTACATGGACAGCTAGTCAGCTGCCCCTGGGAGTTTGCTACAACTGAATTTCATTCATGGCGCACCTGAGGCAGTGGGTTTGCTGATCTTCCAAGTTTCTGATCCAAGTAATTGATCATGAGCACATTGTAAGGATGTTTTTTGCTGGTATTGTGGCATTCATCAAAGATCATCAGGGTGAAAACAGAGAGCGATCGAATGGTCCCACTATTGATGCTGTTCACAAGGATCTGTGGGGTCAGCACAATGATATCATTGTTGTCAACAACACATTCCACAGGAGCGTCCTCAGCTATTTCTCCACAAATACCTGCGACTTTGTACCTGGGAGAGATTGGAGATTTTTCTGTTAAAAACGCCAACTAGAAGCAACATGGTATACTGGACAGAGGCATGGCCTTGGAGCCAGGAAGACAGGCAAAAGAAAGATTTGACACCTATTGTCTGGGTAACCCTGGACAAATTACATAGCCTCTTAAGGTTCTGGGCAATTCTACAAAACTGAGTTATCAGGCAGGTACCAAACTGCAATGGCGGAGGGAATTTCTTCACCTAGGAGCACCCTATCCCAATGAAAACACAGATCCAGTCTCTATTCCTCTCCTTTAAACCCAATATGGTAAGAGTAGGGAATCCAAAATAGGAGATGCTGGGTTGGCTGATGCCAGATGAAGCAGTTATTACCTGGGCATAAACGGCTCTTATTTGAAGGAATGTTAACTCTTTCAGAATACGAGGGGAGGCTCATGCTAAACAGAGTTAAGACAACTGAAACTGAAATATGATGTCTGAAATGTCAAATTTATGTCTGCACAGGTTGCTTACTCATCTGGAAAGATTTGGCTAGAGAGGTTAGGATTTCTAGTTTACCTAACAATTTGGGTACAACTTAAGGCCAACCATGACCTGATCTGAATCTTTTATTCCATGCATGTGTAGAACTCCCAGTATGAAAATTTCCTCCTCTGGTGTATCTCAGCAACTTAGCTAACATATAACTTTAGAGAGTTGCCTAAGGCACTGAAGCATTAGCTAAATTGCCAATAGTCTCTCAGTGCTACACCAGGGCCAGCCCTACATTTATAATGCCGTGCTGACTCTCAAGCAAAAATTGCAAGTAGCATAATGCCTCAAGAAAAAATTTGAAATACTATACTTCCAAATGATAATGGCTAATATTTATATTATATTTATAATGGCTAATATTATAGTATTTATATAATAGATTTATATTATACTTCAAGGTCTGTAAAGGGCTATATGTATGTTACCTTATTTTAATCTCACAACCCTTGAAGCAGGTGTTACCATTTTTATCCTCATTTTAACAGATGAAGAAAAGGTAAAGTAATTTGTTCAAGGTCACACAGCCAGTGTCAGAGGCAGGATTTGAACCCATGTCTTCCTGATTCCATGAAACAAGGAATAAACGCTGATGACAGTTATACCTACCCAAGCCTTTCAAAGTGATTTTTGAACACAGATGTCTGTTGTTCGTACAATGGAACTTGAGGAGCCAAGAAAACAATCTTCCTTTTCTGTCTTGCTGGGTTATTTGTCAGATGATTTTCACATATGAGAAGTGCAGCAAACGTTTTCCCACATCCTTTTCACATAGAGAGAAGGAGAATAATATATGTAATAAAAAAGAGGTCACTTTTAAAAATTCTTTTCTTCATCCATAAATCCATACCCTGCTACCTTCCCCTAAACCTGCTAGGCTGATGGCAGATACTGTTGCCACCAATGCTATCAATCCTCTTTGCCCTGGCCTTCCCCTCTCCAAAGTTATATTATTATACTTCATCATATGTAGGTGACCCACGGTTCCTGAAGTCTAGACTAGTCTGAGTACAAGCTCTATCATGTCATACCAAGCAGGAAAGGTTCCCAAGTAGGGGTCTGGCAATAGCCTCTACATCTGTCCTTCAAAGACTAGCTAAGGTTACTTGAGAAGTTCAACATCAAAAATGTCAGTGACCAGGTTATATCCCTTTTGGGGCTACAGAATCTCATAAAGACCATCTACTTAGGAATGAAGAGGTTGCAATCTGCATTAGTGGAAGGAATACCCACACCTATGTTCAGGTGTCCAGAACAATCTTCCACATTAGTCTTTTACTTCAAACTAATACAACCTTAAGCTGAATTAACAAACTTAAATTGCATTAACAACAAAATACCTTGGGATTAGACTAACTGGGACCATATATGTTTTATAACAGTACTTTCAAAAAAGCATATGAGTAGGAAAGATGGGTAGGTCTCAACCTTTTCCCTTATATGGGGAGGAGAAAGGATGGAGGTGGGCTTACCAGTGGGAGCACATATTATTGTATTTTTTCCTTCTAAAGCTGGGCTGGCAAGTTCCAGCTGGTAACTCTTTGGCTTCAGTGACTTCTCAGGAATTTCTGTAAGACAAAGATGCAGAGTGATTAAACATCTATCATTCTAAGGAGTAGTCCCATGTTTCTTAACATCTCTTTTCCAATGGAAAGGAACTACTGTCTTATTGACATAAAGTCTTCCTTCCAAGGACTCTAAGCACTTCCCGTATATTGCTTTCATCATAAACTTTGTAGTCCTTGTTAACATAGTTACTTTAGCCCTCAATTAACAAGGATCAATCTACCAACATTTATTAAGTACTATGGTAGGTATAGAGGCAAAAAATGAAACTGTTCCTACCTTCAAGGGGCTTCCATTGTGTCAAGGAAAACACATATGCACACAAGTACATTAAAAATAAATGCATAAAACATATTCAAAATAATTTTGGAGAGAAGTATGAAGAAGTTTGAAAAGGCCTCACATAGGAGGTAGGGATCCTTGAAGGAAACTAAGCATTCTAAGATACAGAGGTGATAAGGGAATACCATTCCTGGCAGCCTGTGCAAAGGCATAGGGTAAGGAAACCGACAGTGCTTTATAAGGAAGGCAGCTTTAGAGGGATTATAAAATCCCTAAAGGGAAGTAATATATAATAAGACAGGAAAGGTATTTTTGAAGCCAGTTTGTATAAAGGCTTTAAATGTCAAATGGTAGTTGTATTTGAACCCAGAGGTAATAAGGAGACATTAGAGTTTGTTGAGTAAGGGAATGACATGGTCAGATATCAGGAAAGATGGTGGAAACAGACCTGAGGCAGGGAGATCAATCAAGTCAGTGGCAAGTGGGAAAAAAGTAAAAGTCAAATAAATAGATTTGTTCTTAAAGAACAGATCTTAGGGCCTTGCAGGGAGGGCATATGTCAAGAAGAGCAATACCTTTTGAGATCAAGTTTGAAGAGATAGCTTCACTCATCTAGATGATGGATAACAAATACATAATGGCTACTTATTGAAACCATCTTCTCTGCAATTTTTGGTTTTAGAGAGTTGCCCTAAGTACTTCTTAAACTGTAGGTTCTGAGTAGAAAAAGTTTGAGAAGCCCTGGCCTAGAACACTGTCAGATACAGAACCTGAATCCAACTCTCTATCTATTAGATCATGCTGGATAGGACAACATAGGTCAAGAAGAATGAGAAGTTAGGTAGTTGTCGATAAATATAAACCAAGTTAATTCTTTTTAAAACGGATTCCTCTTTATCAGCTAAGACATCTGTTCACTGAATTGTGAAAATGTTGTATTTCTGGGACTAATAAGATAGGTTTAATATGAGAAATAAATAAGATGAATTTTTAATCACTACTTTTGCCAAGATTCTGTTGGCTCTTACAGACAGAAAAGTAACTTGTTCTGAAAGTTAACTCAGAATCAAATGTTTATTAAAATACAACTAAACTTCAGTTCCTATATTCCAAATAAAACAACATTTGAGTATGTTTCCCAAACTTGCAGACATGTAGACATAGAGTCGTCTCTATCCCTACTCACAATTCCCCTTTCCTCTTCCACTGCTATAAAGTGTAAACACAGCCTTAATTATTTACATACCCTAATGACTCATCAGTAACAATTTATCATTATTTATTCTCATAAAACTGCCAAGTTTTTATGAAGGAGTCAAAACATATCAGTAGGGGATTTAATCAGCCTCTGCAAGTAAGATTTCCTCCAAAGAATATTGAGTAGGGCTATCCACATGCTTCTCATTTTTGGAGTCACTATACATTCCTAAACTAAATAAATTTTATTGAAAGTTCTCTCTTCTTCTTTTTCTCTACATTCTTTTCCTTGAACATCTTATTCACTGTCATAACCTCATCGATTATCACTATAAAGCATATAAATTTCTATTAACCCATTACAATTTAAAATCTATTAAAATTTCTATAAAAGTTCTATCAATCAACCCTGACATTTTGCCCAAATCTCAGTATGTTCCTAGTACATCTAAATTTTGACAAGGCATTTAAGAAAGCCTTTAATAATATTCTTAAGAAGAAAAAGAAATGTGAACTAGATCACAGTAGAATTAGATGTACTTAGGTATTGATTAGATGACAGTTCAGTAAAGACAGAGCTCTGGACAGGTCTAGAAGACCTGGGTTTGACTCTTACATCAGACACTTACTTAGCTTTGTGACACAAAGTAAGCCACTTAACATCTCTGGGCCTCAGTTTCCTTTTCTATGAAATGAGGGCTTTGGATCTGATCTCTGAGGCACCTTTTAGCTCTAAAGCTTTGTTCCTATGACTATACCCAAAGAACTGTGATTAATATTAGCATTACGGGTTTTCTTCTTTGCCATATCCTTGGTACCTTGTCCCTGGCTCTGGTGTCTTCAATGTATTTATTCATTTTATGGATGAAAGAACAGATGACATGCTTATCAAATTTACATATGACCAAGTGGGGAAGGATAGTTAACATTGTATGACAGAAACAGAAGCCAAAAAATATCTCAACAGGGTAGAATGATGGACTGAATCTAATAAGATGCTTAATGGGGATAAATACAAAGTGCTACCTGTGGGCTCCAAAAAGTCAACTGCAGGACAAGATAGGAGAGACATGACCAAACAACAATTTATATGATATAGACCGGGTTTTTTTTTTAATAGATTGAAAATTCAGTGAATCAAAAGTTTAATATAGCACCCCCCCAAAAAAGGCTTCCAAACCTAACACAATCTTAAGTTGAATTAACAAATTTGCGTCCCATTAACTATTAATTTCAATGAATTAACACTGTAATGGCAGTCTCTACCCAAAACTAAAATGATATTAAGTTGTATTAATTAGTCAATTAAATTATAAGTGGTTTAGAACAATGGAAATCATAGTCTCATCATACTCTGCTGTCATTAGACCACATATGTAGTATTGTGTTTTGTTCTTGGAGTCACATTTTAGAAAGACAATTGACAAGCTGAAATGCATATACAAGAAGGCAACCAAAGGAATAAAAGAGTTAAAAAAAAAACATGCTACACACGGATTGGCTGAAGCAAGAATGTTTAATCTGGAGAAGAGAGCCTTAGGGCAAATAAGTTAGCTATCTTTAAATATCTTAAGAGTTGTTCTATGGAAGAGAGATTAGAGTTGGGTTCCTGTTGGCAATGTTAAAGAAATTCACAATCATATTTCATTATTAGATTTTTAAAACACAGTGTTATTGATTAGAAGAATAAACAACTTTGCATACCAGAAAGTGGACATGAATTCTCACTGAGATTTTGCTGTTCCAATTCTTCTTTGTAACATATCTGCATTGTAGACACTCCACTCTCTTCACCCTGGGAATCATACATCTCAGCATTTTTTGTTCCATTTGTATCTGAACAAGGACAATGAGCATTTTAGAATCTTAACACAAGTGATCTCATCATTTTAGGGAATTTAAGGTGGCTGATGGGATCTTTTTAGGGATATTTAGGATGGATAATGCAGGTTTGTCCATAAGATTGATGATCATATGATACTGAGGAAGAGTAATAAGAAAAATCTACTCATCTAGTTCATACCACAGAGACAAATTGATAAACGGATAGGTGAATAGATGATGTATTCTCAACTTTTACAACATGGTAATGCTTTGAAATATTTAGATACATTTAGAAATATATAGATATTTAGATATGTTTTTAGATATCTCACACATGAAATATTTACATATTCTTTACATATTCTCCAGCTTAAAGTCAGAAACATTCAATGTTTGGAATCCTATAATGTAACTCATTCCAATGTGACTCAACAAGCCTTTATAATATTTGTCTCTAAATAACTCCAGCACCAAGAAAGCATGTGCCTATGTAAATGATTTCTAGACTTATAGTCCAAGGTGTCCAAGAAAGTCTAGATTAGGATTTCTGACAATTGCCACCACCACTATCATCTCATCACCAAAAAATTGGCCACCAAGTGATGAATTTTTTTGGCCACAGTGTCTAATATGACACATATGGAATGTAATCTACATTGCTGGGGAATGATAAAAATCATGGATCTTTTGAGAATGTAATAACAACACCACATTTATAAAGTAATTATAACATATTATGAAGAATTTACAGTAAACAGTTTTCATATACATTTTCCCATTTGATGCTCATGATAAACCTGGAGTGGGCATAAAGGGAAATATTATTCCTCGTTTTACAAGTGGGAAAACTGAGGATCAAACAATTTAAGTAATTTGCCCAAGTAAGAAGCAAAGTCAGGACTAGAAATCTTGTCCCTAGACTACTAGTCAAGTAATCAAGTCTCTGAAACAATGGACTGATGTGGAATCATCTTCACGGGAGATGTGTTCAGATTTTCTAAATCAGCTCAAGAGATCCCAGACAATCAGTGTAGTTAATCTGAGCCCCAGATTGGTTCCAAAAAAAGATTCAATTTTTCTCAAATTCTTCAGACCTAGTATATACTCCTAGCTTATACCAACTACCAAGATTCAAGTTTAAAAAAGAAACAAAAGAAAAAAAAGCCACCTCAGTCAGTTTTGAATGAGTCATAATGAGTTTTAACAAGTTAATCCTTTGAGATTATATGGCCCATTCAGTCTATTTTATACCAAGACAAGCTAACTTCTGTTCACGTCTAGGGTTCTAGAGGCAAACTATTATGTGTGTTGGTATCTACTAAATTCCCAAAATATCATTTCACAGCTTCTCTTTGAGACAGCCATATCTGCTTACCCCTGCATTCAAGAATGAACAAGCAAAAAAAGGAGGAGGCAAAGGTTTTTTTTCCTTCAATATCCCCCCACTTCCCATTTCAACAGTCTGTCTTGTGACACTCTACCTTCCTCCAGGGTCCACAGCTTACTAAATTCATATTCTTCAGCTTCTAAAGCCAACTTCAGCACTTTGGGCCAGTTTTCTTTGTCTGATCGAAGAAGATGTTCAACCAGTTTATCTGCACCAGCAATATTCCCTAAGTTGTTTTGAACCTGGCATATAGAATTTGTTGAAAAATCTTTTTATTCATGCATGAAAGAACACTAACTTGACAGTTACTAGATTATGACAACATAATTTGGTTCCATGAGTTCTCAAGTGAAAAAGGTTCTAAAAATCTATTATCTGATGCTGATACGAGGAAACTAAGGGAGTATTGGTATAAGGGTATATGGAAAGTTAATTGCAGGACCAAAAACAGAATTTAGGCTTCTCAACTTTCAGTCCAATGTACCATTTCTCCCACTGACATTCTCAAGAAGAGCTTAAAGTCAAGTCCTGGTAAATAGTGTCATGGGTTATTGAAATATTGAGTTCACATAATTTCAGAGCAGGAGAGGACCTTAGCAGTGTGGCACTATGACAGGAATCCTAAATCTCCAGTCAGAGGACTTGGATTCAACTTTTGGCTTTGCTCATTTCTACCTGTGCAACCTTGAGAGTCTCTGAACCTGTTTCATCACTTGAAAAATGAAGAGGTTGTAAATGACTCTGAAAGAACCTTCCATCATGAAATCTATGACCCTATAATATCTAGCCAGATCTTATCCCACAGAAGAAGTAACTGAGGCTGAAATAGGCTAAGTATTTAGCCTAAGCTTAAACATCAATTAGTAACAAAGCTGGGACTAAAATCTAGGTCAGTTTTTTTTTATTTGTTTGTATTTCCCATTACATGCTGCTGCCCATTAGTGACAGAACCCTCAAAATAATCTTCCTTATTACAGACCATTTTCATTTATGGGAAAATATGTTTATAAAAGTTTGGTAGCAAATTATAAAAGCAGAGATGATTCCCCAACCAAAAACTGAATCTAATACAGAATTCAATGAGAATAAGTAAGACTAAAATATTTTGCAAATTAAAAGGTATTATATAAATGGTAACTATTACTAATTTACCATTGGTGAATGTTATCTCATAATAACATTGGAGAAGTGTTCCTCTGATAAAGATTTTGGGTCCCTGAGGTCTGATGAAGTCATATCTGAGAATGCAATATAACTCTTTTAATAGTGGTGAATGAGAAAAATCTTTGCCTGTGACTTTATTTGTATAGAGGATTGATTCCCTATGAGGACAAAACCCCTCTGCCAATGCAAGGGGGCAGCAATAAATGGCTGCTCAACTTAGAATCTTAGAGAATTGCCTGGGGATCTTAAGAGGTTAAGTGACTTGTGCCCAATCATATAGACAGTATATCAGAGGCAGAACTTGACCCCAAGACTTCTTGACTTTAAGTTGTCTTCCAAACCACATAGCATCACTTTTCTCTTGTGTCTATCTTTTTAAAAAAGTTTTACTGGGGCAGCTAGGTGATGCAGTGGATAGAGCACCGGCCCTGAAGTCAGGAGGACCTGAGTTCAAATCCGGCCTCAGACCAAACACTTGACACTTCCTAGCTGTGTGACCCTGGGAAAGTCACTTAACCCCAACTGCCTTAAAAAAAATTAAATTAAATTTTAAAAAAGTTATTACTATTTTAGAAACGATCCGATTCCCACTTCTTATCCCCAACCTATCTATATTCTAATAAAATAGAATGAGACTTTTAATAATAAATTATAGTAGTAGTTACAATTATTATTAATCAGTTTATATAATTTGTCATATAGCTTACATAATTCATAATTATTATTTTATATAATTATATACTTATTCATTATTAAAAATTACTTGTCCACATAAATATTTATTAAGTTCCTGCCATATGCAAGGCCTTGTCTTAATTGTGGTAGTAATAGTAGTGGTGGTTGTGGTGGAGGTAGTGGTAGTGGTAGTAGTAGTTTAACAACTGTTTAAACAGTAGCACTATAATAACAAAAACATCCTTCTAAAATGCTATATTCATTTCATAAATTGAGTGAATTTGCTTCTTTTCTTCCCTTTTCCTTTCTAGTTTTAGTTATTTCACTGATAGTTGGATGACATAACCAAAAGGTTGAGGATACAGATATTGATTCGATCCAATTCAATCCAACAACTATTTATTAAATGACTACTATGTGCTAAACACTATACTAAGTACTGGGGATGCAAAGGCAAAATGAATAACAGCTTCTGCCTTCAAATAACTTACATTTTACTGAGGGTATACAACATGGTACAACAGAGAGAGACCAAGACTTGAAATCAGGAAGGTTCAAGTTCAAATCCAGCCTCAAATACTTACTATCCTATGTGACCAGGCAAGTCACTTAACTAATCTCCATCTGCCTCAATTTCCTCATCTGTAAAAAGAGAAAAATAATAGCACCTATCTCTCAGGGTTATTTAGAGGAGAAATATAATTTTGGTAAAGCACTTCCTAAACATTAATGCAATATATAGAAGTTATTATTCTTATCATTATTATTAATTTGAATAAGAAATTAGTGACAAAAAGGGGGACTAAGAAGAACCACAGAGAAAGAATCAACAACACTTGCAGCTTATCTGTCTTGAGGGGTGGGGGTTGTGTGTCAAGGATGACTCCATGGAGGCAAACTTGGGTGCCTAGACATGGAGGGTTTGCAAGGAACAATAAGGAGTTCTATTTGGGACTTGTATTTGCAATGCCTACAGAACATCAAGATGGAGATGTCCATTTAAGACTTTTTTCTTGTAAATTACTTCTGAGTTAGGCAAGGATACTAAAGGTTATTGGATAAAGTGAGCTTTTCAAGTGAGAGTTTTAAATTCTCTGTGCTTTCCATTGTCCTAAGAAATTAATTAGAAGACTAGTGCATTTTCCCCCTCAAACTTTCAAAAAAATATAAACTAGGTTTTTTGTTTGTTTGTCTTAGCATTGAAGAGCTGTACATACCTGTCTGATCTCTTCACATTGCTGATTTATTAGGCACTCAGAAATTCTAGGAAGGATGATGTCTGCATGAATGTTATCTTTAAATTCTTTATGTAAAAATTTCAAAAGCAATTTGGGCTTCTCTAACTTCTCGATCTTTTGGAAATTCCAACTTTGAATAGCTTCAGCAAGCCCAGTATAACCTAGGGGGAAAAAAAACAGGAGAAAATAAAACATCTAAGTTTTGTGCCTTAAACTTGTTTTTGAACCAAAACCCTACCCAGGTAAATTCATATCCGGAGAATAACTTTACATTTTTTTGTTGCTATCTTTTGTTTTCCACTCCCTTCATTTCCAAATATTCCTTCCATTCTCCTTGGCTCTCCCCCAAAAGGGTCTTTCCTCATAACAACAAAAAAAAAAAAAGTATAATCAGTTAGCAAAGCTAACCAGCACAAGGATATCTGGCAGTATATGCAATATTCCACAACCCTAATCCCCCACCTTCTGCAAAGAAAGAAGGGAGGTAATTCCCCCCCTCCTTGTTTTCACTTCTACTTACCAGCCACTAAATTATATTACTCAGATGTTTGTCAGAAAGAAGAAACTCACCTGCTCCGTGAAGGGCATCCAGGAAGCCCCGGAACCAGCCAGTCTCTTCAAATTTTAATAAGCACTCCAGAAAAAGCGTAGCAGCTGCTGTCACTCCCTTATTTGTTTTCATAGCTTGGATGGTCTGTATATTTTCTAGCAATAGTAAGGAAAACAAAAGGTGGATCACTCAATATTACACAACCAACAAACTATCCTGCACATCACTACCAGATTACTTTTTTCCTGGGACGTAGCTTTCAACACATGGTCCCCTGCTCAAAAATTTATAATGGTTCCCTCTTGCTTACCATGTAACTCTCTTCGGTGCTTGGCATTCAAGACCTACCATAATTGTACACAATAATAATCTTATCAAAGTGACTTGGCTAAGATTAAGTGGCTAGTAATCGTCAGAGCCAGGATTCCAGGCCAAAGCACCACTCAGAGACTATGTTTCCTTATCTACAAGACATGGATAATAATACTTTACATTGACTATCTGGAGAAGTCGATATGAAAAAATGCTTTATCAACTATAAAACATTATATAAATGAGAGCTCTTGTTACTGGAGTGTGCATATTAATTGGGACCAAGTAATTAAATTTATTGACTTAAACAATATAAGCCTTACAACTCTATCTTTAAAAATTGTTAATATGCACTACATGCTTTTGCTACAATTACTTTTTTATGTTTTGACACTGCGTTCATGATTTTGACACATTCTTTAATCATGAAACTACCTTTTAATTACAGTAGATTTTAAATGCACCTTTGATGAACTGTCCATTTTTCAAGTAAGCCTTAATTATAACCTGTAAGTTTTCAATGAGGTTTAAATATGATGAGTTTCCACGCAGTGAAGCATTTATCTCTACTTCGAAGATAAATTTTTTAAATCTTTCATGATGTGGTATGGCACAAGGATGTGCCACAATATTCCATCTCAGTCTGGAAAATTTCTGTAATTCTGAAACAATTCTTCTCAGTATATCAATATATTTGAAGATACAGATAGAGCAAGACAATCTTTACCTGCAAAAACTATACTAACGGGAAGACAACATATTTATACACATATAAGGTTCAGCTTCAACACAGATTAAAAGACTCAGAGGTCCTTCGGGAGCAATGCAAATGGAAATGTATCTTTATTTGTCATTCCCATTGATAAAATCCACATCTTTTCCTGACGCTGAACCATTTGACAATGTTAAAGACCTTGATGAGAACTTTTCTTTCTAGGTCTTCAGTAGCTGAGGCTGTGGAGGAAGTGAGGGCCACAGTACCTACACAAAGAGAGTTCTGTCAGATCTCAACTAGAGTTTCTTCACTAGATGATGGCTTAGTGGACGAGGCTGGAGGCATGGCTAGTGATCTGGCAGACAATGTTATTCCCAGGGCGCATGAGTACAGTTTTATAGCCTTTTGGGCATAGTTCCAAATTGCTCTCCAGAATGGTTGAATCAGTTCACAACTCCACCAACAATGCTTTAAGTGTTCTAATTTTCCCATATCACCTCCAACATTTATCATTTTCCCTTTCTATCATATTACCCAATCTGGTAGGTGTGAAATGGTACCTCAGAGTTGTTTTAATTTGCATATCTCTAGTCAGTAGTGATTTAGAGTATTTTTTTAAATCTGACTAATGATAGCTTTGATTTCTTCTTCTGAAAACCGTTCATATTATTTGACCATTTATCAATTGCGGAATGACTTGTACTCTTATAAAGTTAATTCAGTTCTCTATACATTTGACAAATGAGGCCTTTATCAGAGAAATTTGCTGGAAAATTTTTTTCCCACAGTTATGATTTCTAACTGTATATTTTCCTCCACCCTGTCTCCCCCCTAGTTTATCCTTTTCTTTCTCTCCTCTCATCCTGTCCCTCCTGAAAAATGTTTTGCTTCTGACTACTGCTTCCCCCAATCTACCCTCCCTTCTGTCAGGCCCCACCCCTTGTCACCTTCTCTTATCCCCTTCTCCTCCTACTTCTATGTAGGGTAAGATAGATTTCTATATCCAACTGGATGTGTAAGTTATTCCCTCTTTGAGACAATTCTGATGAGAGTAAGGTTCAAGCACTGTCTACCACAACCTCCATGTTCCTCTCCAATGTAAAGGATCTTTTACACCTCTTTTATGTGAAATAATTTACCCCATTCTGCCTCTTCCTTCTTCCTTTTCCCACTGCATCCCTCTTTCTCACCCCTTAATTTTTATTTTTTTAGATATCACTCCATCATAATCAACTGATACCTGTGCCCTCTATGTATACTCCTTCTAACTGTCCTAATAATTATAAAGTTCTTAGAAGTTACAAGTAACATCTTCCCGTATATAAATGTAAACAGTTTAACCTTACTGAATCTCTTGTGATTTCTCTTTCCTGTTTACCCTTTTATGTTTCTCTTGAGTCTTGTATTTTAAAATCTGATTTTATTTCAGCTATGGTCTTTTCATCAGGAATGCTTAAAAGTCCTCTATTTCATTAAATATCTTATTTTTCCCCTAAAGGATTCAGTTTTACTGGGTATGTGATTCTTGGTTGTAATCCTAGCTCCTTTGCCCTCTGGAACATCATATTCCAAGCCCTCTACTCCTTTAATGTAAAAGCTACAAAACCTTGTGTTTGTATGTTTCTTTCTGGCTCCTTATAATATTTTCTCCTTGACCTGGGAGCTCTGTAATTTGGCTATAATATTCCTGAGAGTTTTCATTTGGAATTTTTTTCAGGAAGAGATTGGTAGATTCTTTTCATTTCTCTTTTACCCTCTGGTTCTAGGATATCAGGGTAGTTTTCCTTGATAATTTATTGAAATATGACATGAGGCTTTTTTCTTGATCATGGCTTTCAGGTAGTGCAATAATTCGTAAATTATCTCTCCTAGATTTATTTTCTAGGTCAGTTGTTTTGCCCATGAGATATTTCACATTTTCTTCTATTTTTTTCATTCTTTTGATTTTGTTTGTTTTTTGATGTCTCATGGAATCATTAGCTTCCACTTACTCAATTTTATTTTTTAAGGAATTGTTTTCTTCAGTGAGTGAGCTTTGCACCTCCTTTTCCATTTGGCCAATGCTACTTTCCAAGGAGTTATTCTCTTCAGTGAATTTTTGTGCCTTTTTTTTTTTTTTTTGCACTTGGCCAATTCTGCTTTTTAAGTTCTTTTCTTCAATGGATTTTTGTACCTCTTTTAGCATTTGGTCTATTCTGTTTTTTTTTTTTATACCTTCTTTACCAAGCTGTTGACTCTTTTTTCATGATTTTCTTGCATAACTCATTTCTTTTCCCAATTTTTATTTTTCCTTTATTTCTCTTATTTGAGTTTTAAAATCCTTTTTGAGCTCCTCTGGGAATTCGTTTGGGTACTGAGACCAATTCACATTTTTCTTTGAGGCTTTGGATGTGGCTGTTTTTACTTTGTTGTTTCTTCTGAGTTTGTGTTTTGATCTCCCCTGTCACAATAGTAAGCTTTCTATGGTCAGGTTCTTTTTGTTGTTGTTGTTTGCTCATTTTTCCTATCTTTTTTTTTTTTTTAACATTTAACTTTACGTTAAAGTTGGACTCTGCTCCCAGAATAGAGGGGGCACTGTTCCAAGTTTCAGGTTTTTCATGCTACTATATTCAGAGCTAGTTCTGGAGGTGTCTGTAAGTTTTCAGTTCTTCCAGGGTGGTATGATCTAAGGAGAGGTGTGGTCACTGCTTTCCTGGTCTGTGAGTGACCATGAGCATTCTTCTCCACCCTGGAACTGTGACTAGGGCCCCCATACTTCTTTGGTCACATGCTCTTGTGTGCTCGTCCTCCTCCTCCTTGCCCTGGGACTGTGAAATGAAACCATATATGGGCAACGTAACAGAGTCCTGCACCTTGGGCTAGCAAAGGTTCCCCTGCAATCTCTTTCTAACCAGTGGTCTGACTGCAGGAATTGGCTGCTGTAGATTCAGTCTCCTCCAAGGCCTGCTGGTAGTTTGCCCAGGCAGGGCCTGCGCTGGACTGTGCTCCACTCTCACCCCAGTGAGAGAAACCTTTCCTGTCAACCTTGTAAGTTGTCTTGGGCTAGAAAATTGTTTCACCCTATCCTTTTGTTGGTTTTGCTGCTCCAGAATTCGTTTTGAGGAATTCTTTTAAAGTTGTTTAGAGGGAAATTTGGGAGAGCTCCCTGCTGTTACTCTAGTAGTGGATCTTCTAGTCCAACCAATATGGAGAACAATTTGGAATTAAGCCAAAAGGCTATAAAATTGTGCATACACTTTGACCCAGCAATATCACTACTACGTCTGTATCCCAAAGAGATCAAAGAAAAGGGGAAAGGACCTATTTGTACAAAAATATTTATAGTAGGGGCAGCTAGGTGGCGCAGTGAATAGAGCTCAGCCTTGTAGTCAGGAGGACCTGAGTTCAAATCCAGCCTCAGACACTTGACACTTACTAGACATGTGACCCTGGGCAAGTCACTTAACCCTGATTGCCTCACCAAAAAGCAAAAAAAAAAAAAAAAAATTATAGCAGATCTTTTTGTGGTGACAAAGAATTGGAAATGGAAGGAATGGCTAGCAATTGAAAATTGGCTGAACAAGTTGTGGTATATGATTGTGATGGAATACTACTGTGCTATAAGAAATAAGGGGCAGTTGGTTTCAGAAAAACCGGGGAAGATTTGTACGAACTAACGCAAAGTGAAGTACATAGACCTAGGAGAACACCGGACACAGTAACAGCAATATTGTAAGAATGATTAACTATGAAAAACTTAGCTACTCTGATCAATTTAATGATCTAAGACAATTTCAAAGGGCCCATGATGAAAAATGCTATCTGCCTCCAGAGAGAGAACTGATCAACTAAGTGCTGATTGTAACATACTTTTTAAACTTTCTCTACTTTTCTTGTCTGTCTGTGTGTGTGGTTTTTCTTTTACAACATGACTAATATGGAAATACATTTTGCATGATTTCACATATATAATTGATTACATATTGCTTACCTTCTCAAGGGGTGAGGAAGGGGAAGGAGGGAAGGGCAAAATTGGGAACTCAAAATTTTTTAAAAATGAATATTAATTTTTTTATATATGTAATTGAGAAATAATGAAATAAATTTTAAAAATCTATTAAAAAGAAAAAAAACCTAAGAGACAGTGGG